ATGAGCATTATGAGCATCAGCTGTGCTGGTTCTCGCCTGGTTGTGCGGTTGTGAGACCACACCACCCAACCGAGCATCGTTAACAGCACCACGACACCCCAGCATCATGAGCATCAGCTGCTGCACAGGCTCTTGCCAGCGCACCCTAGCCGAGCATAATGAGCATCAGCTGTGCTGGTTCTGGCGATGGTTGGGTGTCCTCGAAAACCGAACCTGAGCATCATGAGCATCAGCTGCGCTGAGGTTGTTGCCTGGTTGGGTGGCCGGGCGACCACACGTTGGCACAAATTGCAGCACCACGGAACCCCAGCATCATGAGCATCAGCTGTACTGGTTCGGGCGATGGTTGGGGGGCCTCGGAACAAACATGACATCAACTGCGCTGGTTCTCGCCGACACCACCACCCAACCGAGCATCGTTAGCGAGCTGGGCGCAGCACCACGAAACCCCAGCATCATGAGCATCAGTTGCACACGTTCCTGCCACGGCACCCGGCACCAAGCCGAGTATAATACCCATCTGCTGTGCACGTTCTCAAGAACTGTGGCACCACTAAACACCAGCATCATTGAGCATCTGCTGCTGCAGAGGTTCTTGCTACGGCACCTAAACCGAGCACAATGTGCATCAGATGTGCTGTTTCTGGAGATGGTTGTTTGGCCTCGACACCAAGCACGAGCATTATGAGCATCAGCTGCACTGGTGCTCGCCTGTTTGGTGACCATATACCACCCAACCGAGAATCGTTAGCACAAGCTGCAGAACCACGACACCCCAGCATCATGAGCCTCAGCTGCTGCGGGGCACCCGCGCCGAACAAAATGCACACAACCCGTATTATTGGTTCTGGCGATGGTAACATGAGCATTATGAGCTTCAACTGCGCTGTTTCTCGCCTAGTTGGGCGACCACACCACCCAAGCGAGCATCGTTTGCACGAACTGCGGCACCACACAACACCAGCATCATGAGCATCGGCTGCACACGTTCTTGCTACGGCACCCGGCACCCAAGCCGAGTATAATGCACATCTGCTGTGCTGGTTCTGGCGATGGTTGGGTGGCCTCGAAACCAAACATAAAACATTAGCATTATGAGCATCGGTGACGCTGGTTCTCCCCTGTTTGGGGACCGAGCATCGTTTTCACGAACTGTGGCACATCATGAGCATCAGTTGCTGCACAGGTTCCTGCCGCGGCACCCAGGCCGAGCATACCGAGCATTAGCTGTGCTGCATCAGCTTCGCTTGTTCTCGCCTGGCTATGTGCCCACATGCACCACCCAAAGGCATCAGTCGCACTGTTTCGTGCCCAGGTTGAACGACCACTCCAAGCTGAGCATCGTGAGCATGAACTGCGCTAGTTCTTGCTCTGGCTGAGCGGCCGCACGACGCAACCCGAGCATCATGAGCATCAGCTGCTTGCCAGGGTGACGCAACCCAAGCCGAGCATCAGCTGTGGTTCTGACGATCGTTGCAAACCCTCTCATCATGTGTGCTGGCTTTGGCTGGGAAACCATACCACAAAAGACCTGAGCATCATGAACATCAGCGGCTGCGCAGGTTTTTACCAAGGTTGGGTGTCTAATGAGCTATCAGCCATGCCCGACCACACCACCCAAGCTGAGCAGCATGAGCATCAGCATTATGCTGATCTGGCGATTCCGCGACCTCGAAACAAAACCCGTACTGCTCATCAACTGCGCTGGTTCTTGTCACCCAGCCCCGCACCACCCAACCAGACAATCCTGAGCATCATCTGCGCCAATTAATGCTCGGATTGGCGACTGCCCCACCCAGCAGGAGGATCATGAGCGTCAGCTGTGCTTGTTCTTGCCGTGGTTGACCACACCACCCAAGCCAAGCACTCTGAGCAGCACTCTGAGCATTAGCTGGGATTGGCTCTTGTTCAAATTGGGGCTACCACCCCAAACAAGCACAGCAGGAGCATCAGCTGTGCTGGTTTTTTTGCAAACATTGGACCAAGGGCCACCCAACCTAGGCATCGATATTCAGCCCGTCCCGTCAACTCTACACTCTACACCGAAGCCCCAAAGCCTCGAACCTAATACTAATGTAAGCAACCCCCCCCGCCAAAAAAAAAAAAGTAGGAACCCGAAGAAAGGGCCAGTGTTACCCTGGGTTCGTTAATCAGGTTCCTACTTTACTAATTACGCCAAAAGCCCGAAACCCTGAAATTCGCAAGCGCCGAAACCCGCAGTTTCCAGGACTGGAGGACCCTGCGCTGAAAAGGCTTCAAAAGGGAGTTAGGGTTTGGGTATTTACGCTCTCGCAACTCGGACAAGCCAGACGAGGTCTCTGCGTTCTTGTCGGTTTAGAGCCGGGGCTTTTGTTAAGAGAGGCCCGCTACATCTAATATGAGTGCCTTAATATGAGTGCCTTAGTAATTGCCAATACTATGTTGAGGGGTTCATTATTATAAGTATAGTAAAGTACTAGACTATACCACAAAACCCTATTCTAATTATTAAGGCCCCTATATTCATCTCCGTGCTCCAACTCTGCTAAGGCATGTGCCAGGAAAGGATGGCGAGGATATGCCGGAATGCCCGGGTTTGGGGTTTTGGGTTCAGGGTGGGTTTAGGGTTTAGGGGGATTAGGGTTTAGGATTCAGAACGATGAGGATCATCATCACAGCAATGATGCTAACAGCAATGATAGCAGCAGTAACCACCACAAGAATTAGGAAGCTGAAAACTACAAACAAACAACATCTACGAAACAATCAAGACTAAGAAGAGTATGAAGAAACAAATTGTCACACTGCTAGTAGTAGTAGTAGTAGTAGTAGTAGTAGTAGTAGTAGTAGTAGTAGTAGTAGTAACATGGGAATAATAATAATAACAAGGGAAATAGTGTACTCCTCATGAAGTAGGTCTTCGGATGAAGGAGATCATGCTTTCAGGACATGGGCCTGGGCCATTTCAGGAGCATAAGTTGCCCGCAAGCATAGCAGCTATGTGTATCCATCTTGCCGCCACAACTGCGACAAATGCTGTGGAAGTGTCATCGATACAGCTTCATCCCGATGCTGTACATTGCAAAACCGCCGCATGTTCCGACTCTCCGCACAACTACACCCGGCGAGAGCACGGTCCATTTTCCACAGGGCATGATGCAGGTACTTGGAGGCTCATGGATAGTCATAAGCAGGGGTTATAAGTGGGGCAACTATAATCGCCCACATTAGGGGACTTGTAACCCCTCTTACAACTACCCATGAACCTCCAAGTGCAGGACGACAACTTAAACCATGTTTGATTTCAACATGGCTTCTTTCGCTGGGCCAGGCATCCATATTGGATGGCCGGCATTCAGAAAATCAGAGATGATGAAAACGGGTTGACTCCGGCTGCTACCTGCGCTGCGGCCTGCCCCGCCATGTGGACATTTCCTCCTTCCGAGCTCTATCGCCACGTTTTCAACGAATATAGGGGCCTTCATGACTAGACCAGGGTGTTGGGGCCCGTTTCGCTATAATTAAAATAATGAACCCCCAAAATAGAATAGGTTAGTTAAATTAGTTAGGCCCCTATATTATGGACATTTCCTCCTTCCAAGCTGTATCGCTACGTTTTCAACTGGCCGATCTACTCCCCGGTCCTTGACTTCGACCTTGAACTCTTGCATCTGACCAGGGTTTAGGGTAAGGGTTTAGGGGTTTAGGGGTTTAGGGTTTAGGCGGAAGAAAGCGTCATCAAACCAACTACACCGACCAACAACCAAGCAGTGATCGTCGTCGGCATCAGCATGAATATCGGCATCATCACCTGGGGTACATGAAGATTCTGAATTGTCTTCTCTGAGGATGATTGCTCGTCATTGTCGGCTGCACGGCAAAAACATACCACCGGCGACGTCGTGAGCGTCGTGGTCGTCATCTGCGGGATAGCTCTCAGATCCACCAGCCTCACCATCGCAGTAAACAAGTAACCCCGCGTAACTTTGCATATTCACGTTCACCCCCCAAAAACATTCTGGGTCCAAAGGTCTTGACAACTCGGGCCTCGGGCTCTCGCGTGCTAAGGTCGCAGCATTTATCTGGCCGACCGAAGCTTCAAACTTCGGTCCGACAGAGGCAGTGAAAGGGAAAAACTCTCAACAGGTGTGCCTGGCTCCATGTGGCTACAGTACCATCAATGCTACTCTTCTGCTGTCCTGCTGTTGACTGGGGTGCTGCCGCTACTGCTCCAACTACTGCTGCTGCTGCTGCGACTATGACTACGACGACGACGGCGACGACTTGTATTCTTCCTACACCTGCACTTACACCTCGTCCTACCCGTACTCCTGCTTACACTCCTCCTGCTGCTGCTGCCACTGGCTACCTCCATTGCTACAGTAGCTGCTTCTGGACCGGCTAAACTGGCGCGCAAGCAACCACGAGGACAAGAGCTGCTTCCTCATCGTTGCTTCTTTTTCTTGTGGGGATGCCACAGGCACACCTCGTGCTATGGCGCTGGGCTGCTCGAAGTTTCTGCGCACCTCACGCTACTACTCTTTCCGGTCTAGCGTCGCTGCTCAATGCTGTCTTGAGGGCAGCAGCCAGCAGCATGAACCACATTGGGCCTTCTAGGTGAGAAGTGGCAGCACTGCTTGCGCTTCCACCCGAGCAATTGGTATGGCATCGTCGCAAATGGTTATATATTAGTGTTACAAAATCATCCTACGGAGACTGACTGGCCTTATTCGTTCGAAGCATTACATACCTCCAGGCATCCTAGGCGTAAGGCTTTGGCATTTCAAGGTTCTGGGCTTAAGGCTTGAAATGCAGAGCTTGAGGCTTTGGGTCTTGGGGTTTGGTGCTTCAGGCTTCGGGGTTGTACAGTAAACCCCATAAAGTTGGAAACCTGATTGAAGCCAAATAGTGCTCGAATTCCCTATACATTACTCTTAAGGGTTGAGGCTATTGGGTTTCCAACTTTTGGGCTTCTACTGTAGTGCTCAATGAGTCTTCAACCAGCTCGCCAAGGGTGCATCTCAGGTGGACAAATAAAGGCTGTTGCTGAAGTTAGAGCTCTTCATGTCCTTCACGATCACCCTCACATCTTCGAGCCCCACCTGCTCTCATGCAGCTGAAAGGGTCGGGGATATCAGATCCAGTCTAACATGGGTGTCCCGAAGCTGCCTCGAATCCTGAACCCGACACCGGTCGGGGCCGCTTACTGTTGCAACATTCATAACATAGCTGGACAAGCCAGAAAAAACTTTCGATCACGACGGTCTGGCAGGGGGAAGCAAAAAGAGCTACACGCATATCAAAAAAGCCTACAAGTTACCTATGTGCCCGACACAAGTCTTAGCAAACACACCCTGGTTTAGCTGGTTCAGCTTTGTGTCAACTTGGTCAATCCACAACATACTCAACTTATCGCACGACAAACCCTCGGTTCGTAGTCGCGCCCCGGCAATCAGAACACCCGCAATGTGATTAAAGATGAGCGAAGCTGGACCAGTTGTAATGGCAATGGGGCTAATGATGAGGCCCCCTTTCTGGCGCAAAGACGTACATGAGCCCAGAAGCACAGTGCACCACCATGTTGAACAATGGGCAAGTCACCATGTCTCTCTGTCTCTTTCCGACTCCTCAGACAAAGCCCTAAAGCCTACAAGCCGTAGGGTTCGGAAAGGCTTCTGGGATCTGAGGTTGTAAAGTTTGGATGCATCCCTTTCCCGGTCCATTCAGCTTGGAAGCCCCCTTACACCCAAGGAATCCGACATCGACGAACGGGTTAATATAGGGGGCCTTATTAATTAGAATAGGGTTTGGGGCCCAATATACTATAAAAGAAAATAAGGAGCCCCCAAAGTCCTTTACAGGGCTCCGACAACCGGATCCGACCTCCAGCTCACTCGTCGACTTGTGCAGGAGCCGGAGCATCCTTCGCTGTCTGGGATCTCAAAAAGGGGGAGTTTCCGAAAACTAGGGGTACCTGATTTTGGGGTCCTTACAATAAGGATCCTACTATTTAGGGTACTATATTGTACTATATTGGGGTCCCCTATTTACGGATACCCGCATGGTACCCTTTGAGTATCCCTTAAAAGAGCCCTATTCTAGCTATTAAGGCCCCAATCGGTCAAAGTTCGGAAGATCCGAATCCTGCCAGGTCCCTTCGTCTTCAGTCGCCAATGGTGCAAATTACCCAGGGGCCCCACAGTAGTTCCTTTTTGGGATTACCTTATAGAAGTCTAGAAATGAATCCCAAAAAGGAACTACTTTGGGCCTATGGGCAACGGTTAAAAGGCAGTGGACTGGAACTTATAGGTGTTGAGGGTGTCATTACCTCACAAAGATTGGAATCATCATCGAACCACTAACATCGCTTCAACTAACACCCTCACTACCACTGCATTTGTTCAGTTGGTGGACTTATGTCTCTTGGATTCCAAGATCACAGCAGCTATGCTGCTATGACGAACGCAAGCAAGACGGCACATGGAATCTTAACTTCAGAAACGAGGCAGCCTCAGTATGCATCCTAGAAGCTTCATCATCTGCAGTGATGAGAGCGGCACTTCGCGGAGGAAGATGTCCAGGATCCCCTGAAAGACAGCATGCTTGTCGGCAGTGACTGTTCGGTCCCAAAAAATAGGGAGGGAGGGAATCAGGGAGTGAGAGAGAGACAGAGAGAGAGAGAGAGAGACAGAGAGAGAGAGAGAGAGAGAGAGAGAGCGAGCGCGAGAACGACCGCGAGAGAGAGCGAGAGAGAGGAAAACAAGAAGGAAAGAAAGAAAGACAGAGTCGGTTGCCACCTCTGCTGCGCATTCCGCTCTTGCAAAGAGCTGCTATCACTGCGGCAGCTTTCAATCTGCTTTGCAGCAAAACGGCCCACAAGTCCTCTACCCTATACCCCACGAAAAAGCATCCAACAGAGAAGTCAAGAAGGGCTTCTGGACATCTTAAACTCGTCAGGCTCAAGGAGCATTGAGATTTAGGTGCTCGGTTGCATAACTAATATATACCCCTTTAGTCGCTATATAGCTATACCATACCCTCTATCTACGCCAACTACCTAGTTTACACATATTCGGGGAGTGCGATGCGTTGTGTTTCAGCAGGGAGCGCCTAGGAGCCGTAGAATCGACAGCCTGGTGGTGAAACCGGCCTATCCGCTAAAGTTGATGATGGTGATGATGGTGATCATAAAATCATTTTCATCATCATCATCATCATCATCATCAAGAGTAACAAGAGAAATAGTAACACTAATACAGGCCTAATGATAATAATAACTGAAACGCGATAACACTAAGAAGAAGAATAGTACTAACAACAAGAAGCGTGCCTTGTGTCATGGTTCTTGTCATCAGGATCTTACAAGGCGTGCCTAGATGCTGCACACTAGAGATCTTTTGATGTGCAGTGTATCTGTTTATTCTGTCCCCTGCTCAACAACCCCATTTTCAAAGTACTAGCTTACTAGCGGAAAACCAAAAGAGCATGTTAGATCCCATTTACACAGGCCTCAACAACTTAACGTTTCAGTCAGACACGGCCATCAAGTCATCTGTAAACGCAACCCAACCATGGCATGTCGACACTCTCTCCGAGGCAGGGCACAAGGCATCCGAACCACATGAACACGGAAAGGCTCATTCATCGAAATAGCGTAGCAGGGGTGATAATTGCAAGAACAACAACCCTCACACTAACACTAATGACACTAATGGTAACCATGACACTACTGGTAACTTAGCCATCGCACTATCAATAGTGTTTGTAATCCTGGAAACCCGCCGATAAGCCCAAGAGGTACCGACGTCCGCAGCCCGATCCTCGGTGAACTCGTCTTTGTTAATGCGCCCGGACTTGTCCACATCCAGCATATCAAAGAGCTCCTTGGTTCTAGGTTGGTAACGTGCGTGAAGCCGGTCTGTAGATGCAGCTTTTCTCGTGTGCCACGAGCAGCAAGTTGGAGCGATGGCTCGTTGGACGGTAGCTGTTGGGTTGGTTGGCGAGTTGTCATTTTGAGCAAGTCCCATGTCATCTCCTGACTGGGGCCAGAGACAGATGCGACGCTTTGATGGAACGCGAACCCGTCCCACGGCCGGGAGACAGAGAGAGAGAGAGAGACAGAGAGATTGAGGAGTGAGGGAGTGAGAGAGCGAGAGCGAGAGAGCGAGAGAGAGCGAGCGAGAGAGAGAGAGAGAGAGAGAGAGAGAGAGAGAGAGAGAGAGAGAGAGGGAGAGAGAGGGAGAGGAGAGAGGGAGTGAGAGACCGAGAGGGTGAGAGAGCGAGAGGAAGTGAGAGAGAAAGAGGGAGAGAGGGAGAGAGAGACAGAGAGGAGTGAGGGAGTGACAGACAGAGAGGGAGTGAGAGTGAGAGAGAGAGGGAGAGAGGAAAGAAAGTGAGAGCGAGAGAGAGAAAGAGAAAGAGAAAGAGACTGAGCGAGTGAGTGAGTGAGTGGAGAGAGGGGGGGAAATGTGCATTTCAGCCCCTCCCAAGCTTACTGTCCAAATCAACTCTTACGAACGGTCTGCGCTTGCGCGGCAGCTTCCTTGCCAGCAGATGTGCACTCTTTTCATGACACCAGAAACACTAGCCTCAAACGCCCAAAGGCCCTCGTCGCAAGAATGCAAACAACACCAACGCATCCGAAGCCAAAAGGTTCTGCAGCAGCAGGCCTCCTTCCTTAACTAATCGCTACACTTCACCCTAGATCTCTACACCAGTACCACAACCTTCTTGCAACCCCGGTCCCTATTTCTCTGAGCGGTCATGGCGCCGTCATGCTCTCCACTGAAGCCCTGTCTAGGAAGTGCCTAGGCACAGGGTTTGGGTTTCGTGTAGTTTGACGCCATTTTGCGGGTTTGGCTAGGTTCGGGGGAGCAAAAATAAACAGCCAGAACTTTGGACAGTGGGTTTGTCGTAACTCTTGCCTGGCTTTGAGAGGTCCGTTTGTTGAGGGTGTAAGTACAGTGCAAGCGCCCGCATATCTGCGCATTTGTCGTTGCTTTAAGTCTCCATGTGCTAGGGTCGCTAGGACCTATAGTTACGTTAGCCAGTTTGGGGCTACCGGCGTGGGGAGCCAAGATGATGCAACCATGCCTGTAGCGTGGAATTTCTTCAAGTGAACTTTTCACCGTAAGCATGCACAGGATCGGTGGAAGGAACCCGACAAATCGTACACGACAGAAGCATCCGAAACCCTGCGCCGTGCACCCCAACCTGAGCGCCTGCCTCACGATCCCCTCTTGGATGACTACTTGTATTTCGTTGTCTGTCGCCCTCACAACAGTTGGTGGGCCCGTCTTTCAGCACGTGTGAGACAACGTCCCCGACTGCGCCCGATTGATCCTCAGCTTTTCAGAAACGTTGTTCCCAGGTTGTTCCTTCCATGATGCCCATGACCAAGCAGAAGCCAAGAGGCGGGGGTACCGTGTGGAGGCCACTCTGCTCGAACCTCAGGCCAGCGGCGCGCCCGTTAGCGCTTTTAGGATTCTCGGGCCTTGCGAGGAACCCCTCGAGGACCTGCCTCGCAGGACCCCGCCTTATGCGAGCATGGGCTTTTCAAACAAAGGGGCTCCTTGCAAAAAGGATCTTGCTGTTTAGGATTTCTGTTAAAGGCTCTCTGACTTAACTTGCTGGCACCGCTCCACAGATACCGCGCCCTCGCAGGCTGAAACTGTTATCTTACCTGACGTCTAGATCGCAGATTTTAAAGCGATAAGAGTCCTAAACTCTCCGATGCAGTAACCAGGCCTGAAGACGTAGCCGCAATCCTGAATCCTTTACCTGACCGACAAGCAGCACCTACATCCTAGAGCAGCAAAGGGGCTTCTCCATCTCTTCGATCACAATCTCACCACTGCCATCTTGGTCCACCGCATCGAACAGGGAAAGAATTCCAGGCAGCATCTGCCTCGAAATCATTGATGTTTAGAGTTTATCGCAGGCCTCAAAAGGCGGGATGAAGGTCGGTGGGATATTCCCAAATAAGAGTCCTTACATAAGGGATCCTTGATCCTACCTACCTTCATCCCACCTTTTGAAGCCTCCGAGGTTTAGGGCTATAGGGCATATAGTGTTTCGGGCTCTTGGCACGTGCTGTTGAAGAGAACCGCGGATGGGCTTCGCTTAGCATTCTCGACTTTTTGACTGAAGCCCCCAAACCTTTGCGGGTATCGAGTTTAGGAAGGTTTAGGGCCTAAACGGTGTAAGGTCTAGGTTAGGGCTTATGGGGTGGGTTTTCTGTAGGGGCCTTGACAGTTATCCATAATATTTTAGGGGTTCCTCATTATGATGAAAGTATAATGGGCCCCAAAACCCTCTTCTAATTCTTCAGGCCGCTCTATTAGGATCCTAAACTTAGCTCTTTCGTGTTCCCAAACGAGAATTCTCCGAGCCCGAGCTTGGCCGTGATCTCATGTAACCCTATTATAGAGCTTTTATAGACCCCTTTCAGGAACTCTTCACAGGAGCCCTGTTCTAGTGATTATTCCGAGCCCCGAGCTTAGCCGTGACCATGCCAACCTTGGCTTCGAGTTCCCGGTCCTGCGAAGCAGGGTCTCGGCGCTCACACTCCCTAAACCCTAAACGGATTCTCCGACTGTGAGCGAAGCAGGGTTTCGGCGCTGCTTTTGTAGCTTTCAGACGCGGTGCCCTCAGTGTGGAATGTACATCAACCTCGAAGGCCAACCTCCGGAATCAACGGTGAAAGTTAGAGCAAACGTACCGCAAGACCGCAAACAGCTCTTAACCCAAACCCAAACAGAACCAATCAGTTGAAATGCAAATCTCAAGTGACCAGTCAACGAGAATTGTCGAAGATGTCCTGCCGTGCATGTTCTAATGCGCCCTCCACGAGAACCGCCGTCACCAAATTCCTGAGGGGATGTGGGAGGGCTTGTTGAAGGCCTACATATCGGGGTTCATGGCTCAAGGTCAAGGGATCACATCTTTTGGTTGCTGAACTTCCGATATCAGTGAAACTGCAAAGAATATGACGCGAGACGTTTCGGCCCCGAAGCACGTCGCGAAAGATGTGTCAGTCTGAAAAGAAGTTTCTTTACGGAACAGTCGCCGTGTCAATCATGTTGATGTGCTCGGCAGCAGGAGTGTGGTGAAGTTCCATCACTTACCACGGCCCACATTTCGCCACAGACGGATTAACCCATTCCAATAGGAGGGAACACACAATTCCTTGCTTGATTCACACTTTTACTTTTACGGCGACCGGTAGTTCAGGGACATGGATTACTTGACAACCTCATGAAGGCAGTCCGAGTCTGAAATTCGATGATGTCGTGATAGAGGATCCAGACCTAGTGAGCTGCCTTCAAGTCAACTAGTTTTCCCAGGCTCGAACCCTAAAACCGAAACACAACTCCTTGGCTATACCCTAAAACCTAAGCGCTATTCCTTGAACGCTTCCATTATAGAGATCCTTGGATCTCTCGGCCAAGGCTCATCAAGGCAATTGAGACGATAATGATCAAGCCGAGGAAGTAGAACATCAGCCACGCGTTCCTGCGTACCCCGAGGTCCCAGCCTTCCGAAACCCTTTTGCAACAAGAGCAGGATGCTTACGGCTCAGCCGATAGTCGCGGCCCTGCTAGTGCTATAGCACTAGGTGTACTCGTGCGAGCAGTGGCAAGAAGACTGCCAATAAGGCTAGGAGTAGTAGGTTGCCCACGCATCTTGTGCTTCTGGGGCGTTGGGGTTTGGCAACCAGTCAATCCCGTTTCATTTGAAGGTTCATCGCTCTGACCAGCTCGCTTGGCTTTCCTTTTAGGCGGTGGAGCTGTTTCTTGGAGCTCGCTGGTCATCATCTCCTGCTTGCTTTCGCGGCTGCCGCCCGCTCCATTTAGGGTTGGCGAAGCCCAAGAACAAACATCAAAACATGTTCAGACAACAAAACCAGACTTAAGGACACTACCACAACATCCTTTCGCTCACACTCCAGCAGTCTGTGAACGCCCTGTTGGTGTAATCCCGGAACCCTACACCCCCGGAGCTCTTCTTGATGAGCGGAAGGTAGAGGCTTGACAGCGAGTCCAAGGTCACGAACCTCAGGTGCAGCCACGAATCTGGTTCCCGTGCCCTATTATAATAGGGACCCAAAAAGGGACCATAATTTTGACAAGGATATCTACTGGGTTGTAGTGTTGGGGCTCTGAACAGTATTTATGAATAGGTACCTCTATGGGAAGCATACAGGGAAATTAAAAAGTTTCCCAAATTGCCAGCCAGTTCCTAAACCCAAGGAAGGCTGGTGGTCTTGGAGGAGCCTATGAGCTGGATGCACGGACATCCAGGACTCTGACGGAAAGGACCGCGGAACAAGCCGTGGTTCAACAGGTACAAGTGCCACTGGGGATCTTTGCAGGATCTGAACATCACGCTGTTTTCAAGACGCTGTTTTCGGGCCCTCTGGAACATGTAGACTTCTGCAAGGGTCACAGCTGGGAACCACCCTAGCCCAGCTGCTGTGTCAGGGTCATCATCGTCACGCCGAGGGAGCTGAAGCGCTCATCCAGGAGGCGTTGGATGTTGTCATCTTCCTGGTGTCCATGAGAGTAGGGAAGTTCTCAGCCGTTCTGAAGTTTCTGTTGGAATGGGTGCATAAAAACTGCTTGTGCACACCCTAGAGATCTCGAGCTATTGCCGAACTCGAGGCCTTTCAATATCGGAAAAGCGCCCAAAGTGCAAAGAAATGCTGCTGTAGTGGCTTTTGGAAACACAGCCTTCTCTGGTAGAACTCACGTATTCTGCGGCCCCGTGCTGGAGTCTCTCATGCAGAAGCTTCGGCCGGTATTGTAGGGCTTCCACCGAAAAATGCTGCAACCCGAATTCCGAACCCTAAAACCGGGGGGTAGGAATTCCAAGGTCTTCGTAAGGCAGTGGGAGAATGCCCTAGCTGTCAATGGAGCTAGAGCACCCCAGGCCAACAACCTGCTGCAAAACCATCAAACTTGCTAGTGTGGCAGCTCCATGATGAGAAAAAATTCGGGGCATCTATTATACGATGACTATACAAAGGCTAAATGGGGAATACGATTGATTACCTAGACCTCTATATTGGATGCAGACTTGTCGCCCTGTTTCAAGATGGATTGTTTGGAACTTCTCGCTAACGGCCTTCGCAAACCCTACGCCGCAAACCCAACTCAACACCCACATTCAGCAACAGGCACCCGCATCTCTTGATTGGAGGCGATGGTCTCTAGGCCGAGAACAGCAAAAACCTTCGGTGAGGGTGGCTCAGGGATTTTAGGGTCTAGGACTTAGGGCACCTCTTTTTCCCTGAGGTTTCGAGAATTTGGGGGCTTCCGGGTGATCAGGCCATCTGAATCTTGCTAATTATTCAGTGGTTGTGGGCTGCAGGTTGGCATTTTGCGACAGGTCCCTTATATGGTCCGTTTCTGAACGGTTGCCCCGCTGGTGTGTGCAGAAGCCTCTCCAAAAGCAGGTGCAACATGCCCATGAGAGATCTCCGCGCTCGAAACTGTTAATGAGTTAACGGCAGAAGCCAAAATCGGAGCCTCAACCACATCCACAACCAACAAGAACGAACGAAACACGACATAACAGCTACAACCACCAACAACCCCAACAAAACTAGCAATGCCGCCGTCTGCAATACCTCCGAACCCTGCTTTGCCATCATCAAACATCCTACATCGCCAGACGCATGGAAGACCCGGTGCCAAACACACCTCAGAGAGCCAACGAACCCGATGCCGACACACCTCAGACAGCGAACGAAAGCCACACACCCACACACACACACACACACACAGACACACACACACACACACACACACACAGAGACACACTGAGACACACACACAGACACACACAGACACACACACACACACACCCACACACACACGCGCACACGCGCACACGCACACGCACACGCACACGCACACGCGCACGCGCACCCACACGCGCACACGCACACGCACACGCACACGCACACGCGCACGCGCACGCACACACGCGCACACACACACTCACACACACTCTCTCACTCACTCACTCACTCACTCACTCACATACACACACACACACACAGACACGGTCACAGTGTGTCGAACCTCAAGTTTGCACTAAGACCCCGGTGTTTAAGAAGGATTCGGGAGTTCAATTGTATTAGCTGATGGTTCGAGAGTATAGTTTCGGCTTTGGCGGCTTGGAGAAGTTGCAAGTCGTTCAAGTACTCAACCAGAAGAAGCGTAAAACACATGCAAAAATGATAGACTCGCACACAGGGTTGGTGACAAAGAACAATCTGCACCAAAACGCGGGAAGAAAGATTTAGCAAACAACAATTTACAAGATCTCCGTGAAAGAACCCTGTCGAACCGTATGCAACAAAATACAACTAAATTCCAGGTTTACTCCTTCCACACACCCCAGAACCTGAACCCTGAACCCCTCAACCCCAAACTCTAAACTGACACCCAAGACGCATAGATCACCATCCCGAGCAAGGCAAGAGTTGAGATAAGCAGTTCTCCGCAAGTGAGGAGGCCGTACCTTACATTAGGGGTTTTAGGGTTTGGGGGTTGTGGGGTTTAGGGTTTGGGACAAATCCCAATTCCCACCCCTTGATTCCGTAACTCAAAAGCGGTAAATCCCAAAGATTGCTCAGCCAGTGCTCGTCGTATTTCATATACGGGCTTTTATAATTGGAATATGCCTTCGCGGTATTGATAGTATAGTGAAAGAAAGGAGTGCTAAGGACAAAAATCGGTTGGAGCTATTCCGGACTCTATATTCTTAGAATCTCGGCTTAAGCTTGACAAAGGTATGTAGTCTTGAGAAAGAGTGGTAGAGCAGGCCGATCAGTAGAATCTGCATGGGTCCCAAACAGAGATAATATGGTAAATATCATGAGTGTTGCCACGTTGGGCCCGCAGTCTTGCCTTGAGCAGGCGTGTCCTGCCCGCCGTGAGGTTCAACGTGATCCATGCAGGCATGAGGGTTGTGTTGATGCGGCTTCCCCTGGTTGCTTGGTTGGTTGCTGTTGTAACCATTGTTCTGATCGAAGTTGTGCTGTCCACATGGCTCGAAGCAGTTCTTCCCATCTTGAGCCCGCTGAGCGTGTGTGTAGGCGGTCGGGTTGTTCAGCTGGTGTTGTCAGGTCGTGTGTGACGGGATTTTGCACCAGTCATTGCACTAGTCGCCGTTGTGCCTGCCATGCATCTCAACAGCGGCGACCTGGTGGACAGGACAGCAGTCGTACTTGTCGGCGCGAGTCGTGCAACAATCTGGTTTCATCACGTTGTCGCACAGGTTTTTGCAGTAGGCATTGTTTGAGTGAGCGCTGCCAATGTCATTTTGACGGCCATCCGGAAGACGCTCCGCTTGTTGCTCCGCGTTTGCTCACTTGTAGGTTGGCTTCTTGCGGCAATCACGTTCGGGAAGCTTGTCGCACAGGGTATTGTCGTGAGCATTGTCGTAGTCGCCGGTGCTCATGCCGCAATGTTGTGTCTGATCGCACTAGTGGGCCCCCTATACCTCCCCCTCCCCCTGCCCCGCCACTTGTACCTGACACTTGCCGCGAGCCTTCATGCAGTGATCGAGCGCTGCGTGGTTGTGTGTCCCGTCTTTGTTCATATCATTGTGGTGCTCGCTCTTGCCGTTCTAGTGGCGCCTCTGTGCCCACGCCAAGTCGACGTGTCGCAGGCGTTGAGCCTCTGCAGCGTTGTCGTCATGCGTCTTGTGATGCTCTTGTTGCCCCCGGGTGCCGTACTGGGTATTGCCAGTTGCATTGCACCAGTGCTCGGTGTGTTTGCAGTCGGGAGTTGTTGCCTCCTGCAGCGGCCCCAATGCCCCTTGCACCACGTTTGTGTCGTCGTCGGAGCTGTCGGAATAGGGTGGCGTCTTCTTGCAATTCTGGCTACTGTAGCTTGCATTGTCGTCACCCGTGTTGCCGCTCTTCACGCAATATGCCTGCAGAAGTTGATCCGTTGCCAGAGTATTTGCGGGATGTTTGTGAAGCTTTGCCCCATGACTTGTCGGCACTGCCTGAAAACATCCGCGCCTCTGCAGAATCTCTGCGTGCCGCTGCGAATCAGGGAAACGCCAGCGGCCTCCGTCGTCATCGCCGGCGCGACGGGGGTCGACCCGCTTGAGCTTGGCGCTTCTAAACGCGAATCATCTTTGGTCGCCGAGCGGGGTTGAGCATGCTGGCTTTCATGGGTTGTCGAGTTTGTTAGAGTCGTGGTCTGTGGATTTGGTGTGCGTGCAAGAAACTCGGGCGCCAGATGGTGCGTCGCTTCCGATTGATCAGCCTTACAGCTATGATGGCCCCACGGGTCTGGGCGGTTGTGAAGCCGGCTTCCTCGTTCATTCTGCATCCGCTTCGTGGTCTGTCTCGTCTGCTGGGCTGTCTCCTCGTATCCGTTGGAGAGTCCTTGCGACATCACCTGATGAAGCAAAAATTCTGATATGCAGCTATTATGCTCCACATGTTGGGATGTCCATGCCTGAGCGTTTCGCCTTCTGGAATCATTTACGGGCATCTTGCAGCTCTACCCTGGTGCACAGTTGTTTTTGGCAGGTGACGCCAATGTGTATTTGTCTGAAGTCATGGATGCGGGCAGGGAGCGCAGCTGCGAAACTCAGTTGCGTATTGTTATCCGCGCGTTCCTGAGCGACTTTGGTTTATCCATCCTTAACCCAATGCACGTTGCTACTCACAGGTCCGGTTCCTCTATTGACTTGGTGCTTGCATCTCGGTCGTTGGATGTGAGAAACGTGGTTGTCCATGATGGCGTCTCATGTGGTTGTCCCTCTCCATGTTGCCATCCAGTCCTCGGTAGTGACCATCGGCTTATTACGTTTGATGTGTTGGTGACGCCAGCAGCTGTGTCAAAGGTTCCGAGTTGGCCCAAAGTCCGGGATTGGCGTGCTGTTCTTTGCACCGTGCGCCCTGACCTCCTCAGGTGGGCGTCGCGAATATTGCATCTCCGAGACGAGTGCAACACTGCAAGCGTTGACTCCAAGCGGGCAATTGTCGATATTCTCTACGGTGAGTTTGTAGCCTTGCTGTGGAGCTTGCCAGGGCAGTTGGCGCGTAGTTCCCCGCACCCGCGTCGTCCCCAGCCAGACTGGTGGGATTCTGAGTGTTACGACCTGATGGTTGCACGAAACGCGGCCTATCGGCTTTGGCAGCGTGAGAGAACACCTGCTGCTCGAGCAGAGTTTCGTGCCAAGCGGATTCGTTTTCACCATCTTGTGCGTCGCAAGAAGGCCCAGTTCTGGAATACGTGGCTTGATTCGCAGGAGCAATTGGCCCGTAACAACCCCCGCATGGCAGCGCAAAACATTCGTCAGCAGATGGGGATGCGACGGCGTGTGCTACCTTGTGCCATGCGTTCATCTGACCCTCACGATGGCTTTATTGAAGGTCCAGCTTGCTTAGATGCTTGGCGTGCTCACTTCCGCGACGTGCCTTTGAATGCTCGGCCTGCTGTTGTGAACCCCGATTCGCAATCATTTGATGTTGAAGGCGCGGTTCGACAGTTGAGGGCTTCCATGCCTGCTAACACTGGTCACCTTGACTTTCCGTTTTCGGAGGCTGAATTGCTTCAAGTGTTGCAGGAGCTTCCCTGTGAGCGTTCTCCTGGTCCAGATGGCTTGCCCTACGAAGCACTCCGGGTTGAGGATCCGTGCTTACGCTCCGCGCTGTTGGTATTCTTCGAGCTTGTGCGGTCTTGGTCGATCGTCCCGACCGTGTGGCGTTCTGCTGTCGTTGCTCCTCTCCACAAGGGTGGTGCTGCAGACCAGTTCACGAATTATCGGCCGATCAGCTTGTTGTGCAGCTGTCAGAAGATATTTGAGCGACTTGTGTTGAAGCGATTGCTGCCGCACATTGATCCCTTGCTCGATGAGAGTCAGGCTGGGTTCCGGTGGGGGGCTGAGGAGCAAATCTACACCCTGACAGAAACGCTTCGTCTTCGGGCGGGTCGTCGCACATTCTGTGCATTTGTGGACGTGCGGAAGGCCTTCGACGTGGCATGGCGGGATGCTGTGCTACTTAAGCTGGCTTCTGCCGGAGTCACAGGATGCTTGTGGTCAGTCATTGCGGATTTGATCACCAATACCACTGCGCGAGTTTCTGTTAACGGTTCCTTTTCTGAGCCTTGGTCGGAACAGGCTGGGGTTAGGCAAGGCAGTGTTTTGGGCCCGCTGTTGTTCAACCTTCTGTTTGACAGCGTTGCTGAAGCTGTTCGTGCAGCTTGCCCAGGCGTCGCGCTTGGTAGCGGTCCCAATGCACCGCGGGTCACCTTGCTGTTGTACGCTGATGATCTTGTCATCCTTGCCGACAACCCGTCGGACTTGCAAAGTGCTCTCACCGCTGTAGGCGCATGGGGCTCGCAGTGGCGGTTCTCTTTTGGCATTGGTCCTGACAAAACCGCTGTTCTTGTGGTCGGCTCACGTTCCTCTAGCTTCAGGTTTCACCTTCAGGGAGCCGCAGTGCCATGTGTCAGTCAATACTGTTACCTCGGGGTGGTGTTCCAAGCCTCCAGGAAGTGGCAAAAGCATGCCGCGCACCGTATTGACAAGAGCACTGGCAAGTTCCATCAGTGCCTGGGTTGGGCGGAGAACCGAGGTTTGTGCACCAGCTTCCGCGCGAGTCTCTTTCGCTCGTATGTGCTACCATCGCTCTTGTACGGCTCTCAATTCTTAGATGATGTTGCCCTCCGCATGCTGGACAAGAAAATGCGTCAATTTGGGCGCCGTCTGCTTTTGTGGCCTCGGGGCACACCCGGAGCGGCTGTTGTGGGCGAGTTGGGCTGGCGCCCTCTGTCAGTTGAAGTTCGCCGGTTGCAATTCAGCTTATTTGGCCGGCTATGTGCTGCTGGCGGCACGGATGACGCTCGTACTTTGGCTAGTCGGGTGTTCCACTTTGCTGTGCACTCGCCAGGGTCTTGGGCTCACGACGTGAAGCTGCAGCTACAATCCAGTGGCGGTCTTCTGCCGGCTGCTTGTGGGGTGGTGCCGGGTGCTCTAGCGGCGCAGCTGCAGTGGAATAGGTCGGTAGTCCGGCCGCTCGTACAGAATCAGGCATGGGCACAATACCACTCAGAAGCTGTGACCGTGTCTTCCTTGAGGCCTTTCCTGGCATATCATCCCTATCTTGAGTGTGACGTGCAAGTGCACGGTGGTAGGATTCCGACACACGTTACACGTGAATGGACTTGGGCCCGGTGTGGGCATCATCCATTCCCGGATGGGCGCAATGCACGTCACCGTGCAGGGGACGCTTTCGTGCAGCATATGTGTTTGTGTGGCAATCCAAGCTGCAGTCTTCTGCATGGGTTGCGAGAGTGTCCCTTATTTGATGAGCAGCGTCAGATCTGGCAGAGTCGTATGCGAAGTTATGTGATCGATGTTGCCCAGCTCTCAAACGAGAATTTCTTGCGGTTGGTCTTTATGCCACAACATCCGCTTAATTCTCGATCTTCGATTGCAGCTCATGTGCATTTTGTAGCTTCTGTGTGTCACCTGCAGCGATGGCTTTCTGAAGATTCCTGAGCCTGATGCTGCCTTGACGCTTATCGCCGTAAGTGTGATGCGTCTTTCCTTTTCACTACTGACCGAAGACGGTTGTTTCAGGTCTGAGTCTCTCTTTACTGTGGCAACACAAAGCAATTACCAAGAACCCTACCCGGGGCGCTCAAGGACTGTGTAAGTGCGGATTACATGGTTTGAAAACGAGATACCACCCCATCTGCTTGCGAGGAAACTTGAAGGCAGGCGTGATTGCTACCAAGGCTGTTCAAGACTGGTGACTGCTCAAAGGGGCTTGATGAGCTACTTTATCGATTCCACACCATGGTGCTTATCTGGGTGAATATGGAAGACGGTTTTCGTTGAAATTTCTGACATGAAGAAGGGAACCTAATCTTCGCGGTATTCAAACACTCACGTGAGCTTTCTGCAATCGGGGCGAGGTGAAGAGTTGTGAACCAAGGCATTAGTCTTCATGCATGCAAGCTGACAACACCGACCGTTTACAACCTAGCTCACACCCAAGAGCCTTAAGACCCCCAGGAAGATTCATCTGTTAGCATTAGTGGCAGAAGCCACATCGCACCTGAAATGCCAGAATCTTCCATACCCGACTCACAGTGACAGAAAAGGGGCAGCAACCGCCAGATTGACTTGATCTGCCGAATCATCCGGAAGGTTCGGACCAAGCGAATCAAGCGCAGCAGCCGGAGAATCATGATCTGCAGAGCTGGAAACGCTTGCCAAGATCACGCCAGCGGGTTGCCGGTTAAGTATCTGCTAACTCCTAGCATCATGCGACATTTCAGCCTCAGGTACTGTACCCAGTTTACCTAGAGAGAAACAACCACAGCTAGTTCTTCCACCAACGTAGTGACGTAGTCCCGGTGATGACAAAATGATCACAGGATCACACTAGTGCGGCCACAGTTGCTAAGACTGTCGGGCTTCGTGCGCACTTACTTTATGACTTATGCGTGATTTGAGTCGTGCTCCCTCCGGCATTCAACCCAATCCAATAACAAGAACATGCCAAAAAAACAGCACAGCCTGCACACGACAAAGGTCAGAGCCATCATGCTCATCACCACACGGGGGACAATGACGAGAACCAAAACCGTCTGAATCTTGCTGTGGCTGCTCCTTCTGCAGCTACTTCTGTTCCTCCTCCTCTTCTCTACATGTCGGTCTTGCTCATGCCCATGCCGCTGCTACTGCTACTCCTATCACTACCCCGACTACTCCGACTCCTGCTCCTGCTCCTTGCCCCTCCTGCTCCTCGTGCTACGACGACGGCGACGACGACGTCTTTTCTTCTTCTTCTGCTGCGCCTGCTGCCGATGCCACCACCACTCCCAGCACGACCACCACTACTACCTCGACTAGCACTTCCACCACTACCACACGCCACTGCTGTTGCTTCTACTGCTACTACGACCACTACCCGGCCACTGCGACGACGACAACTACAACGACGATTACCACTGCGACAACTGCTCCGGCTGGTGGTGCTGCCCGCTCCTGCTCTAGCTCGTCCTCCCGTCCTTCTTCTGGGTTTGTCTTTTATCTACTCTACAGGTACTCATAAGATCACCCAAAACACTGCTGACAGTAGTGGCCATCCCTGCAATCAATCAAACCATCAGTTCTCACCAACAAGCTCATCTTAAGCATCACACCCACCCATCACGCCATTCCAACCCAATCAAGCTTTTAACCGCTGAGCCAACCAAATTCATCAAGCAAGAAAACAAGCCAGCGGGCACTCAGCCAATGAACCTGATGACTTTTCCAATCAAACAACAAAGACAATCCAAGACAACATCATAATTACATCGCATGGCCGGCAACAACGAGATTATTGATCGTTGTTTTGAAGTTACGTTGAAGTGGTGTAGCGAATCGTCACTACGTACAAGGACGACAGCCAATGACTTAAGCAAACATGATCTGCACCGTCATCACCAGAAGGCCCTGCGAAAGTTACTAATCTCGTTAACACTTATAGAACTGTAGCAGCTGGCACAGTAACCATCATACCAACCATGATTGCCGCCAATGCGGCAACTCGTAATTGATCAGTGGTCCGGCCTGCTGCTCGGATTGCACAGAAAAGAGGGACAAGAGCTGCTCAATGTAGGCGCTCGTCACCTGCGAAGAGAAAAGTTGCCATGCGAAGAGAAAAGTTGCCAGGCAGTGCCCTAAACCCTAAGCCGGCTCAGAAGGTAGGGCTTCACGCTTTGGCCAGGCCAACCATCAATAGCTATCCTCCAGCCGGTCCTACCGAAACGAGGCAATGTACGAGCGTTATTGGTACGAACAGGGTTTTGGGGACCGACTTTAGTGTGATTATATAAAGGAACCTCATCCCCGGAGGTTGATTGATTGGTAGCTATTCTCACTCCCTCACTAATACACTGCGACATGATCCGTCCCGACCGCAGTCGTTGCTGCCCTGACCTTTCGTTGCATTGTAGCATCCGGCATAAAGCCATAGCGACTATGCATATCTACACCTACGCTCGCTCAGATGCCATAAACATAAACTCCAAGAGATTTTTCTCCAACAAATTAATCCGACGGAACAGGCCACCAAGTTCAGGGTGTTGATAGTTTATTCTTCCTGCACTAACTCCCGGGCTAGCCAGGTAAGGTCCGGCACTGCTACGGGTGGTGGTCGAGGCCGTCCTGAAATCGTTCATGTGGCAAGCTTGTCCGACTGGCGTTGAAATCAAACCTCGCCGCTACAGTAGGCCCTAGGCTTCACCCTAAAATCGTAAACTGTGGATAACTCTAGAAACCCAGAACCACACCCCGGACTCGACTCTTCCCCACCAGGACAGGTTTACTGTCTGGTTCTATAACAAAAGAATGGGGAACGGACTATCTCTCTCTCTGCCGTGCCATCACCAAGAGTCCCGCAATGCAAGCTCACGAAATCGGAACGGATTTTGGAGACTATTAGGGATTATGTAGGGACTACTATAGGGATCCATTCCTCCATTCCCTACTAAGCACCAGGGAGTTTAGGGCTCAAGGCTTTCATGTCCCACCAGGATCGCGTCGAAGATGAACCAGCCATCACGGATGCACTTGGACTGAAGGGCAATGGCGCGGATGGCCAACTCCAAGGAATAGAAGACCAGGAAGAAGATCTCCTGGGCTCTTCTTAAGGGTTAAGTTATCATGATTAGGGATCTAGTAATTAGGGATCTATAGTAAATATTATAGCTTCCTTAGTATGGTACCCTGGGCTCTATTTAAGTGGCCGTTTTTAAGTTACCATAATAGGGGTCTATAGTAAATAATATGGTTTTCGTCTTAAGGTTTAGGATTTAGATCTCCTAGGCCCTGCTTAAGGGTTAAGTTGCCATAACTAGGGATCTATAGTAAATGATACGGTTTCCTTATTATGTACCTTAAATGGAAGAAGATCTCCTGGGCTCTTCGAGGGCCTCTTGGGGCTTCATGTAGGGGCCTTAATTACTAGATTAGAGCTTGGAGGTATATTATACAAATAAAGACTACTGAAAAGGAATCCCCAAAACCCCATTCTAACTAGAAAGGCCCCTACGTTAGGTTTTCGGCCTTTGGGTTTAGGGTTTTGAACACTCACAACTGGCACGAACCTGCAGAAGCTCCTTCTGGGTGTATGGGGCTTGATGCAGGAGGCTGAAAACGGCCGACAACGCGGCGTCACTTTTCTGCTTTCGCCGCGAGGCTGTGCCGGCAACCTGCTCCCAGCCCTGCAAAACGGTACCTGTTTCCGACCCAGAAACGAGATATCATCACAGTCTCTCGCACATTTTTCCCAGCGACAATCACGCGACCGCCAAGGTATGGTACACATTTTGGATTCATGGGGTGTTATTCTGAATTTCAGGAGTGTTCCTGGCATGCTTCTTGGGCAGGCTTTGCTCCCATTGCATCTGTAAGTCGGGTCAAAGCTGGCTGGTAAGGCTATTACGGCAAATATATACATTTGGGAACCTGCAAGGAAACGGCAAAAGTCGATTTTATGGAGCCTTGGCAAAATCATGCTGCGATTCGAAGGTCCAAGCCATAATTTTCCCAAGCCCTCGACCCCCCAAACCCATTGAGGGGAACCCTCCAAACCGCTACGGTAGGGGCCTCAATAATTAGAATAGGGTTTTGGGGCCCTGAATACGATAACTATAAAAAGGAACCCCCAAACATCGTGTTGGTAATCATTCAGGCCCCTATAGTAGACCCCGAGAGTGGCCACCAAACAACATCTGATCCGGCTGAGCTGCCGCCTCCGACGCCCAGGCCAGACCAGGCCCCTCCAAAGAGTCGGGCTTAAGGTTTTAGATTCCATTTCGTTTCATGTCCATAAGGAAACCTAGAAAGGGCACAAGGGTACTAGTCGAAACGTTTGGATTGAAGGGTTTCGGCACTGTGCCAGGCGAGGTCTTGGGTGCGCAGTCGAGCATGTAGGGTTGGCGTCATTTCAAAACTGCTGGGCTTTACGGCAGTTGAATGTCGAACACTGATATATGGCCCTGCTTCTGTAAGAGTCTTGCATCAGTGTGCGACGGAATAGGAATTCTCAGCATGCGACTCTGCGCTGGTGCTGGTTCTGCTGCTGCTTGCTGCCGCAAATGCCTTTTCAGGTACCGCTGATTGTGCTGTTGCTGATGTTGCGGTCGTTGGGGTTGCTGCGGTTGTTTGGCTTGCTGACTAGTTACTAGTTGGCTGGTCGGTTGGGCTTGGTTCGCGTCGGTCAGTCGGTCCGCCGGTCGGATATTGCAGTTCAATCACCAATCATCAGCGAAGTGGCACAATTCTGAACTTACTTATGAGCATCGTCATCTTCGCGGCCTCAACATCACTGCCATCTGTATCTACATCAGGGCTATCCAGAAGTCACTGTCACAGCAATGTACCATAAACCCTTACATCTTAAACACGAAAACTCGTAAAGCCCTAGGCCCTCAACCCTTAAACCCTACGTGGAGATACATGGGCAGCTATAAGTCGGGGGTATAAGTCCCCCAGTATGGGTCATAATTATAGCGCCCTACTTAAAACCCCACTATACCCTAAACCCTCAACCCTAAACTCTCATTGTAGCTACCCACGAACCTCCCAGTAAGGCAAACTTTCAAGGATGCCTTGGTCGTCTCCCCCGTGCTCGGGAGAGACAGGTGGCTGTCGACGCCGATGATCGCCTCGTCTCAATTTCAAGGGCCTTAACAATTCGAATACTCCTTCGGGGTACACCATGCTGTTCTTGTTTGACAAAACAGGACTTAAACTTTAAGGGAGAAACTAGTATTTCGGCACTATTCCGACCCGCAATCTCTCCCTCAAGCCGTGCGCGCTGACCAGGCGCAGAGTTGGCGACGATAACGAAGGAGATCATGCACTCGAACCAGTCCTCCAACAACGACGGCTCTACTTACCTTTGGTTAGTACGGAATGGAAGAATGGCAGTAATAGTGGTTATATGGTGGTAATATGATAGTAATATGGTAGTAATATGATAGTAATATGGTAGTAATATGGAAGAAATATGGTAGTACTATGGTAGTAATAGTAGTTATAACTGTACCCCATTTCTCCATTCCCTACTAACCAAAGGTAAGTTTAGAGACCATGCCGGTGCATGGTATGCTATTGCCGGGGTTGTGCAAGTCTTGAGTCCAAGTAGAGAACATTCGATTATGATTGGCATGCTGATCATGATGAGGATGGTGATGACGACGGCGATGACGATCCTGAGGATGATGTGATGGCCATCATCAGCCAAGAAGTCGCCCCGGCTACCATGTAGGTCTACCTTCTGAAGTTTGAGGCCTTAATTAACCCAGAAGCCAGGACATCTGAGGGGGATATCGTTGTTCTTGCACATGTTGCGCATTTGCGAAAACCCCAGTTCAAAGGGTGCGAACCAAGATTTTGTGGGTGAAAGGACCGGGGCTGATGCCAAAACCTCGCACTGAACTTGAATCCTACAGGTTTGGGTCCACTGCCTTCGCTTCTTGCACGGCACACAGCCTGACACATGGGTAGTTGTCAAAATTATGGCGCCTTTTTGGGTACCCTAATAATTAATATTAGGTGCCGTATTAAAATAGGGACCCAAAAAGGGACCATAATTTTGACAACCACCCACATGTACATGGTAAATCTGAGAAGCTCAGCCCCAAGTCCCAAGCTCAAATCGAAGCAAGAAGACCTATGCGACACCCCTGGAACTGCAGATGATAAGGACCCTAAACCCTAAACTCTAAACCCAAACCCGAAGCCGGAAACCCATCCTTCTTGATCAACTTCTTGCAGGCGTGCTGGGTCCTTCGCAGGCTCCGGAGCTCTCCGGGACAGCATAGCGGTTTAGGGTTTAGGCGGTTTAGGGGTTTAGGGTTTAGGGGTTCGCGGATAAGGGTTCAGGGCTTTGGGTTTCAGTTGGGTCTGGTCATAAGCCCGTAATAAGCCCTACAAGGACGAACATGTGCCCTTCTAACGATGAGACAGCGATCTCCACCTGAGTCACTGGCTTCCGAGCCCCTCTAAACCCTAAACATTATGAACCCTACAAGCTCTATAAACCCACAAGCCCTATAAAACCTATCAGCCCTGTAAACCCTACAAAGCCCTGTAAGCGTACACCCTAAACCGACCCCCCCCTCTCTCTTTGCCCCCCGCGCAGTAGCTCTTGGTTAAGGGCATCATCTTTTGGCAAGGAGGGCAGGTTGCTCCTCGAATGCCATCATACGGTTTATGATATAAGTCCTGCATTCCACCATGATGAGGAATGGACCGTAGTTCCCATAGCTTCGGGTCGTTAAGGTAACGCAGGAGTTATGCCATCAACTGTGTTTAAAGCTCCAAAAGAACCCTCACATCAACATTCTTGTGCGCTTGAAAAAAGAGCATGCAACATGGGTGGAGGGCTATAAACCCTAACAGCCAGAAGCCCAATAATCTCCGCAAGCCCTATGAAACGTTATAGCCCTAACCCACCCAAATCCCAAACCCTAAACCGACAACCCCGGATCTTCCAAACTCCAAACATCTCCAAACCCCCTATAACCCTCATGCGCCTCTTCCACAAGCCCTCCGATCTCGGGATCTCAAGGCTCTTCTGCTTCCTTGCTTGGAGGACACAAGACGGCTCTCGGACATTTTCCCACCCGCCCAGCTGCCCAAAACGGTTCAGGGTTTCGGCGTTCGCAGTCGGACGGACCAGGCGAGGTATGTTTTTCGGCGCTTGCGGTTTAGGGTTTGGGGCCTTTATCACCCCTTAACCCAACAAGCCCGATAAATCTTATCAGCCCTGAACCCTGCAAAAATGTACACCAGGCACTCGGTTCTTTGACTCATAGGATCGGGTTCAGGGTTTGCTTCAAGCTATCATAACTATTGAGACTACTGTTTACGATAAGGGTGACCTTTCGCAGAGGACTTCTATCAGGGCGTTAGTTTAGCTTCTAGGGTCTTATGAGTTTTCGTATAGTGTCGTACTATTGTACAGCATCGGCATACGGTAGGGCCCTGTCGTAGACGCCGACATAAACTCTAGAGGATTTCTACAGGGAGTCGGTCCTGGTATGTTTCCACTCTCGCCACTCGAGCATAATATAGGGGCCCTAACAATTAGAATAGGGTTTGGGGGCTCAATGTACTATAGTCATAATAAGGACCCCCCCCCCAAAAAAAAAAGTGTTGGTAATGATTTGAGCCCCTACATTGTGCTTCACCTCTTCAAGGCCTCAAGGGCTTTCAACACTCACAGCCGGGCACGTTCCGAGTTTCGAATCATACACTCGCACCGAAGGCTCGCGAGGTCTCCAGTAAGTGTTGGGCTTTCACACACTTGGCACCTTTAGAGCAAGCAACAACCACGACAGCAGAAGCCCTAGGTTTGGGTCTCTTCCTCGACCCCCACAAATGCTACGCCCTACCCATGGCCCTAACCCGCCGGGTTTATACGGCTGCAGGACACGGGAAAGCTTTAGGGTGTACGTTCTCGCGTCTTCGTCTGTCCTAGGACCTTCACGGCTGATACGACAGACGAGAGTTCCGAAACGATGGACTCTCAAGCCATCCCAAAACCGGAGTATTGCAACACATTCCTAGTGAGCAAAGTGAGCTCACCAATGTAATCGTACAACTCGATACAAGTGTATACTATAGCATACCATACTCTAGACAGCTGCAAGTCGATTCTGTGGTCAGAATTTGCAAAGAATTTAGTAAGGATTGAGAAGACCTCGTGAAACCCTGAGCCCTAAACCCACCGGAATCGATGGCTACCTGGAAGCCCTTATCCATAGCTTGGATTCTGCAGTGTTGTCTGCTCGCGGACCTTCTTCAGGAGGCGCCGGGTGTGCGGGCTGATCGATGCATCCTGGATGTGGCCGACGGCAAGGCTTAGAGGATCTTAGAGGGTTTCTTGAAGGGCTATACTTTCAGGATATGAGGACTACTTTAAGGGTTTCGTACACTTCTCGATTTGTGCGTGTCATCCCTGCGCAGGGGCCATGCAGGATTTAGAGTTTAGGTGGGCTTATCGATGCATGCTGGGCAAGGCCGATAGCAAGGTTTGGGTTTAGTGTTCACCTCGAACTACCAAATCCTACTTTTTGTAGCCACCCTATAGATTCTATACTCGGATTTGTGAAAACAACCTACAGACAAGTAGGTTATGGTAGTTTAAGGCTTAAGATAGAGTTTAGGGAAACCAGCTCTTGGTCTCGGCTTGGGTCTTGAGGTTTTCTGATAGCGGAAGGTGGGGTGTTTTCATCATACGGGTTTAGGGCCGAGTGTTGTCTGTAAATATTGGTTTATGTCAGCAGGCACTCTGCAGGCTAAGCGGAGTTTGCTGGCTATTTTTTGAGCCCTACTAAGGAATCGAAGTAATCACCCGAAACGACCCCTCAAGGACAACTTCATGCATGTAATCCATACTAGATTAAAGTCATACCCTTCCTTCTCATAGCACTAAAAAGTACTTCAAACACCTTAAATACATGAAGAACGAACAGAATCAAGATCTGCTTCCTGTCTTGCACTGCGGGGTTTTGCCCTTAGAGAGGCCTTGGGCTTTGGGTCTGAGAACCGGGGGAAGGGGGGTGGGTTGGGGGGGGTTAGGTTCCTTGTCTGCCTTGGTACACTTCTCGATGGGTGCGCATTTACAGTTTGGAGTTTAGATGCGGGGTGAGCAACTGGAAGCAATCTCACACCTACCCAAAATCTGAAGACCTTCACCCCGCGGGTGACTCATCAACTAGAGTGCGTCGAAAAGACCAGGATTCGTGTGTCCATGATGTGTACTGAGTCTACTGCCTGTAATTTGAAGAATCTCCCCTGATTTCCGTGTCTTTGCAAGATTCCTCCCCCGAAGGCTGAAAATATGTCATGGCCTCCACAGTCTAGTAACGGTTTCGGGTGTAGGGTTTCGGCGCTCACACTTGGACAATCCAGGCGAGGGATATGGCTCCAGGTCACCAGGTAGGTTTAAGGCTTTTTTCCCTCCTACCTAGCAAGGACGAAGCCCGCATTGCGGGGATTTAGGGCCTAGGGTTTCGGGGTTTTCGACGCTCACACTCGTAGGGTTTAGGTTTTAGAGGTCTTGGGGCGTGGGAGGGGTTCAGGGCTACAGAGCCTTCTCTAGTAGCGGGCCCTGGCTACACTCGGCCGGTAAACGACGAGAGGGCTCTAAACGTAAGAACCTGATTGAGAAACCCGGGTTCTAGAACCCCTAGAACAATATCGGATATATCTATACACCTATATATTTATTTATTTAACTATTTATAAAGAGCCCAAAGGTTTCTGAATCAGGTTCATACATGACAGCTCCTGGAAGCAATACAACCCGCTACTTCAGATAAACAGCCCACGGCCCGAACCGTGAAACCGTACACCCGAGACCCTCGGCCCTTAACCCGAAGGCCCTCGTCTCCCTTCTAAGATATGCCGAAGCGGCTAAGTCTTCGAGGTGCGTCTTGCGCGACGGAGGAGTTTCTTCCTGGGGTTTCGGTTCTTACACTTGAACTCTTCTGTCTGGTTCTTAGTAGGGAATGGGGGAATGGACTATGGAGACTTTTGGGGGCATAGGGACTAATAGGGATCCATTCCCCCAATCCCTGCTAAGAAGTCTTCAGGCGAAGCATGCGCGGATAGGGAGTGGCGCGGCATCGAAGTAAGGGTCATGTCGCACGGTAACCAGTCATTGCGGATGACTAGCCTTCGACATGTGACATTTCCCTCCAAGGCCATACAACCTCTAATTCAGGAGAAAGGTACAAACATGCACACCTAGATATATATGCACATATTAGACAAATTACACTAAGGCAGATCGCCATCCCCCTCCCTGGGCCCCCTTGCGTCGGCGTCTTCTAGCCCGTTGCCCTGCTCCGGGTCAAGCACCTGAAGGTTGGGGGCTTAATAGTTTTTTTGGTGAGGGTTGCAAGGTTTCGGTTTGGGAGGACTCAACCATTTCGCTTCGGGCCTTGGGGTAATCGCTTCTTGGGGAGCTTAGAGGGTTTAGAGCCGATTTGGGCATAATTCATCTCTATTTGGGTCCAGATTCAATGCCTTGGCGGGCTTTGGGGACAGTTGCAGGACCTCCACGAGCTTTGCCTCCTTGGGGTGTTTTCAGGGTTCTTTGACCAAATGCGGCAGCGCACTTGGAATTAACACAGAGTCGAATGACGACAACTTCTTTGCCGACGGTGAAATACTAAAGCAGACGCTACCATGCACTCTTTATTGGACCATGGGCAAACAGAAGTAGCAGAAAGAGTCGTCGTCGTCATGGCGGTGGTGGCAGTGATAGTAGTGGTGGTGGTGGTGGTGGCAGCAGCAGCAGCAGTAGCAGCAGTAGCAGCAGTAGCAGCAGTAGCAGCAGGAGTAGGAGTAGCAGTAGTCGGAGTCGTAGTAGTCGTAGTCGTCGTCGTAGCAGTAGCAGTAGCAGTAGCAGTAGCAGTAGCAGTAGCAGTAGCAGTAGCAGTAGCAGTAGCAGTAGCAGTAGCAGTAGCAGTAGCAGTAGCAGTAGCAGTAGCAGTAGCAGTAGTAGTAGTAGTAGTAGTAGTAGTAGTAGTAGTAGTATTATTAGTAGCAGTAGTAACTAGAAGTAGTAGCAAGAGTAGGAGCAGGAGTCGCAGTCGTAGTTGTTCGTCGTCGTAGTATTTGCCGTCCTCTTCTACTGAACCATACTCAACCCCACCCCCACTCTACCCCAAACCCAACCCTGAACTCCTAAACTCCAAAACTAGGATACCCAGTAACCTAAGACTAAAAAAGGGCATCTCTTTTTGGTATTGGGTAACTTTATAAGGAACCTAGGACTACAAAAAGGGAATAAGGGTACTACTGGGCATCGTAGAAAAACCTTAGGGGCTCTGGAATTGTAGGACCCGCCTCGTCCACGTTGACATGGACCTGGAGATCTCCGAAGAGAGTTTGGATTTGAGGGTTCAGTTTCTAGGAGATAAGGGTTTAGGGGTTTGGGGTTTAGGGGTTTGGGGTTTAGGGGTTTAGGGGTTTTTTTGCCCTCCTACCTAGCAAGGACGAAGCCCGCATTGCAGGGTGTCTTGGTTTAGGGGTTTAGGGTTTAGGGTTTAGGGGTTTCAGCACTCACACTCGGACAAGCCTTGGCGAGGTTCTCAAGTCCCACGACAGGCACATCTGGCCCAAACTGTCATACGTTGATGACAGCAAAACACTCTGGGTAAGCAGTGCTTCGTCGAACGCATCCCGGCCCTCGTACATGCGATCATCCTCGTCATAATCATCTGGCTGATCGAAGTCATCGGGATCAAAATCATCCTGGTGTTCTTCAGAATCAACGGTCGACGAGCCCCAGTCTCCTCCACATTGTTTGCGGTGGGGGCGAGGGTCCTTAGCACAAGGCGCGTAGATCTCTACGCCCGCCTGTGGAAGCAAGCACGTTTCGAGAATCCCGCCCTTCTTACCCGCAATCATACGGGCTTCCCGCATGTGCGAATAAATCTGCTTGGACCCAATGGCCAATCTTTCCTTAATGTTCTCTTCCTCATCGGCGATAATCCCGCATCTCATACCGAGAATTTCGCCAGTGCCAACCGTCAACAGGACTGAACCTGAATCCCCAGGTCGCGTGTCAATGCCATGAGTGTACACTCCACGCACGCCCTCCATCTGGTCGCAAAGCGATCCGACATTGCGTATCAAAACGAACAACATCTTATCATCATCGTACCGGTAATGATACGTTTCAAACGTCGCGTCGCAACGGAAGCTAAACTGAAGGCTCCGGGTCTTCATCCCAAGCCTCGCAGGGAGATCGGACTGCATAAAAGCGAAGTCGCGAGAAATTGCGTGCTCCGGCTTCCGAGCAGTTGGCGCTACTACATCTCCCAACTTAAACTCCAGGAGCTGCTCAACTCCTGAAACTTGCAGCGCAGCCTTCGCTGCGTAGAGAGGAAAACCAGCCGCAGCTAGCTCAGTCATGGACTTCCCCCCCCTGACTTGGTGCTTGCAAATCAAGACTCCTCCAGAAACTGCATAACCCATGCCAATGGGGATGATACAGCCATCAATTGCCGTCCAGAAAGTGACAATTTTCTCGGGAACTTTCGAAGCCGCACCGCTCAAATTCCCTGAGCACGGCAAATACCGAAGCTGGGCGCGTTGGCCGCGCGGAAACTCAATCAAGTCCTGGTTGTCGCAAAACCCAACGCCCTGCACGGAGTAGTCTATCCCGTAGAAAGTCAACTTGGCAGCGTAAGACGTAGCCACAACAGCTATAGCGACAGTCCCAGCGGTAGCCGTGTTGACATGTCTAAGCCAAGTCCAAAAGGAAAGTCCACAACGTTTCAACATGACCATAGTCCACGCTCCAAACTCAAAAAGCGCTGAAAAGATCGCAACCCCGACGTTGTGGGTGTTCTTGACAGCCCCAAATGAAACAAACGAGGTCTTGATCGCGCCAACGAACGACGTGAACCCCATTCCAACGAAAGATGGCATTCCCACATGGTTCCTCAAATCAAGCAACCAATGCCAAGCGCGGTACAACGCTTCTTGCATTGCAAGGTAGGGCTCGCAAAGGCATTCCTCTTTGTATTCACCCAGGATCTTGCGCGCTTGACTCACCTGGTCATCGTGGCTGAAACCCATGTGGTGCAAATTGCGCGCAAACTGGTGGGCGTGTTCGCACAAGAACGACGAGTTGCCAGTTTCGAAATAGCAAGCTACATCCAAACGAAGGACCTGCGAATTCCCATAGTAGTCATAAACTTGACTCCAACAGATCCGGCAAACGTATTCCTCAACCCGAAATAATCCTCAAACCAAAAAGAAGGACCAATGAAGCAGCAAGAAGACATCCCTGGAGGCAGGAATGGGTAAATGAACAACAAAAGCAAGAGGATGCATGTCAAATAGAAAGCGATGCACCCCTTGACTGTCCTCTTGAGCTCCCAAGTCTTCACAAGTTGAGTAATTTCGGCGTTTTGCTCGTCCTTTGTGGGGACCACGGTCTCGTTGCGAGTGGCGAAATTGAAAGCGGAACACAGCTGGTATACGCCAAATCCACATTCAACGTAGCGCTCACGTCGCATCCACAAACGCCCATGGTCTTCGTCCAACAACTCCTGGGGACTCCAATCCAAGTCCGGATCACTCTCGTACAGGCCTTCGGACTCGTCCTCGAGATCCTCGCACAGGCCTTCGGACTCGTTCTCGAAATCATCGGGTGGCTCTTCCTCAAGCTCATTCAGCAACCATAGCGCCAATGGCGAGAGGGAATCAAAGACGGCCGCGTCTGGATCAGGCTTCTTCTTCATCAAGTCCTCCTCGGTGACCTCGACCAAGAGCTCCTCCTCGATGCGTGTTTGGAAAACATAAGTCGCATCAGGCTCGACTTCAGAAGCCGTGTAGCTCTTGGTCTCCCATTCGTCGCTCCAAGAGATCAGATCGTCAAGGTCCCGGTTGGCGATCTCCTCCGTGTAACCGTCCGAAGTTGCATACCCAGAAAAGCTGGAATACGTGTCCCACGGATGAGGTCGTTCTGGGGTTTCATACTCCGGATACACCCAGCGACTCGGGTCAGGGTCGCCTTCAAGCAAATAGCGACGGTCTTCGTCCCATTCTTGAAGCAAGACCCCAGGTACTGTGAACCAAGAAGTGTCCAATCCTCGATGGTAAAGCTCGGCAAGGTACGTCTGATCACGGGCGCTCACATGTAGCATCCGGTCAGTAAACCTCGTTCGACCGCGGCAAGCCACCCAAACGGGTGTGTTGCGGAAGTTGGCAACAATCCAATCGACATTGAGGCAATGCCGATAAAGGAAATCCACCCACCAAAGGGCGGTGAATCCACAAGTTGCCACAGCGTCGCAGACCTCCTTAGCGGACAAAATTGGATGGTCTTCCAACGCTTCAGTGACTTCCGTCCTGAGCTGCGTCTCGTAACCAGGAGGCGGGCAATAAACTCGCCCGTCACTGATCTCTTCCAACGTGCGCACCCACAACCTCACACTGCGATTCGGCATGATGTCAGGATGCTGAAACAACAAATTGAGGGAAAATTGATTGATTGAAAGTTTAGGGGTTTAGGGGTTTAGGGTTTAGGGGTTTAGGGGTTTGGGGTTCAGGGGTTTGGGGGTTTAGGGGTTTGGGGTTTAGGGGTTTAGGGGTTTAGGGTTTAGGGGTTTGGGGTTTAGAGTTTCTTTTTCCCTCTCGCATGTGCTTGGAAGTCTATGCCCGCTCGCGAGGTCTGACATTGGGATACACACTAGCACAGCCCATCATGTTCATGAAGCGGCCATTTCAACTGTTTTTTAGGGTTTAGGATTTAGGGTTTAGGGGTTTAGGATTGAGGGGTTTGGGCCACAGGTCCAGTGTGCAGCTGTATGAGGCATAGGCCGCAGTACAGAACAACTAGAAGATTCCTCCGCAGCCTGAAATGTGCAGGCCGGCCACCATAGCGTTGTGGCTTTCTACAGTCGCCGGCTCCTCCTGTGGGAAAGATGCAGGATTGATGCACAAGTTGAGCATCCACTAAAATGGGGAGGTTGGGGCAAAATTAAATGAAGGAAACTTAGAAATCGCCGGAGTGTGGTCGTTGTTGTGAGTTTTTCCCGGACTTACCCTCCGTTCTCAAACCTCTACTAGCAGCCCGACTTACACCAAGCGAAAGATCGCAAGTGGGTTCTGAACATCCATAATCTTCAATCTCCGAAGCTCGCCACTCGCGACTAAGCCTGTATAACCTGGCCGGCTTCACTTGTCTCCCATGGCTCCTTTGCCAAGGCAGGCGCCAAGGCAGGCTCATATCGCGGCCAGGACAGGGAGCAGGAGGATAGGGCCGACTGGTACCTGGCTTGTGAACCCTTCATGACCTGTGGAAGACGGTTTAGGGGCTAGTTTGGGGCCGTTCTGACAACTCACAAAAATCATGTTGAAACACTTGGCCGTACAAGAGGAACTGACTGGCAGCAAAACCTTGCCATTTCCCTGCTGTTGAACAAACCGTAAGAAGGACCATCATACCCTCAGCCATAACGGCTTGTTATGCACTCGGTCTGTCCCGCACCCCTTCAAACTCGTGTCACCTTGCTATGGGTCGCAAAAGGACGGAAGAAAAACAGAGTGTCGGGGTCGAGATGAGCTGTTTGATGTTGCCAGGATGATAAGGTTTAGGACTTAGGAGACATCTTGGAATCGACAGGCGATGGTGTGGACGGTGGAGTCGAAGGAGCCCAACCTACTTTGCCACTGACTCGCCCTTTGTTCAGACTTCTATTAGGATTTAGGGCCTATAGGGCCTAGAGCTCAGCGATAGTTGACCAGAGTCTTGAAACCCAAATCCGGAGCCAGAGACCAACCGCACCGACCGGCGATGCTGGCCTCGTCAAGGACTCCTCCATTTCCCATAGCGCTGCCTGAACGGCCACCTCTGCAGGGAGAGTTTGCAATAAAGGTAGGTTATACTTGTACAGGTGGCTACACAGGGTTCCTTGTAGAAGTTTCCGCAATTGTTACGAATTGCCAAGGGTACTTACTTTATAAGGGCGACGAACCTGTGATATGATGGGTTTGGGGAGCCTGTGCCGCCCACGGGTTCAGAAAACCTGGTATGCATTATTCTGAAAGCTGTTACATCCAGCAGGTTGCACAATTGCTAAGTTCCAGTCCATAAACCTTACGAGTGCTAACACGCATTCTTTCGGTGTGTGGAGTTTATCACAGTTTATCACCCCACAGCCAATGCCCGAGCTCCGATGCACCCTCGAACGAATATGGGCCTGAATAAGAATTCGCCTAGGTTTTTGACTTATAATTACTCTTGAACAATACATACTTATGTAGCGGGCCCTTTGGCACAGAATTGTACATGCCCGCCTGGATCTCAGAGCCCCCTGACCCCAAATCAAAAAAACCCTGAATTCAGCCTAAACAAACTGCTTTAGATACTCCTGAAACACGAAAGGCCCTAAACCTCAATTAAACCCTCAACCGAACTCATTACGAACCCCTGGCGCTTTCCCAAACCAGGCCTGCTGGCGCTTCAGGCTCACGAGGGCCTCGCGTGGGTACGCCAAAAGTCTGGTCAGCTCCTGATTTAGGGTTTAGGGATTTAGGGTTTAGGGTTCGGGCTTTGGGATTAGGGTAGGATCTAGTGTTTCGGGGTTTAGGGTTTAGGGGTTTAGGGTTCGGGCTTTGGGGTTAGGGTAGGATCTATTTCGGGGTTTAGGGTTTAGGGGTTTAGGCTTAAGGCTTTGGGATTAGGGTAGCGTCTGGTGTTTCGGGGTTTAGGGGTCGGGCTTTGGGGTTAGGGTAGGATCTAGTGTTTAGGGGTTCAGGGTTTAGGGGTTTAGGGTTCGGGCTTTGGGATTAGGGTAGGATCTAGTGTTTCGGGGTTTTTTTCCCTCCTACCTAGCAAGGACGAGGTTTAGGGTTTAGGGGTTTAGGCTTAGGGCTTTGGGATTAGGGTAGAGTCTAGTGTTTTGGGGTTTAGAGATTAGAGTTTACAAGCGTTGAAGGGTTTTTGCTTCCAAATTTAGGGTGCGAGAGATTGAGAAAAGGCAAGTGCCGCATATGACTAGCTAATCATGCATTTTGTCCTGCAGGGACCATGCTGAGTTATTGTTAAATACAACTGAGAGACTTCTGGTCTGGCAATTTGAAACCGTTCCTCAGTTCTTCAAAACCAGCATGTGTTTCACCTTGAACACTCGAAAATCCTGGACGGGATCTGTTTTGCAAAAATGCTCAGACTTGCGGAGGCCTGGCTTCGGAATACCGACACTCTCAACCTCCCAGCCGCCAACGTCGAGCACCTCAAGCCTTACCCACCAACAGCAAAAAAACATCGAAAGATTGAAAAGGTCCTCGAGTTCAGGTGGTCTCTGCCGCTGCATTTCCGGTGCGTTTGGTCCCGTTACCTCCTGCGGCGATTTGTCCATTTGCGGTTTCGGCACTCACTCTCACGCTCTAATAAGCCAGGCGGGATTCGGGAAGCAGGGAAGAAAGGGGCTCCTCCGGCACGGATTCGGGTTTCGGGTGACAGGTTTGGGGATAATGCGCTGTAATATGCTACAACACTCTAACATACTACAGTGTACTGTGACATACTGTATGGTACCGCATTATGCTAAAGGATGCTAAAGTTTGCTATACTATGCTGAAAGGTACCAAAATTTGCTATAACAAGCCATAATATACTCTTTTTCAGGGTCCTTTGAAGGGTTCTGTCGATTGCTGAGAGAGGGGGTGCCATGAGGGTGTGTATAAGGGTCACAGGGGCCTCAATACTTGGAGTAGGGTTATTTAGGGTAGTTAAAGAAGGAACCCTAAGGAATGGGATGACTCATGATTCAAGCCTCTGCAGTAATTCACGGCATGTGTTTTCCGTTGGGCCTTCAGCGCCCTCCTCGTAGCTGTGATACAACCCGAAGCCCCGAACCTTCGAACATGTGCTAAATCTGAAGGGGGCGCATTGGAGCTCCAAAGGACTGGACAGTTTAGTTATTTCTGAAGTCTGAAAGCGCAAACCCACAGACCACGGGTGTTTTTGGACCCTGCCTGGGCTGCCAACGGCACCGCACAATGAGTGGAACAGTCGAACATGGCTGCTAGAAGGCACCGCAGGCGCAGCTGCGCAGGCTGCACTGTTCAAAACCACCACCAACTGGTTTGCAACACCCTCTCTGGCAAATTGTAACAACGAAGTCCCCGAAACCCAACCAAATTCAAAACCACGAAACAAAGTGCCGGACGCAAAAACCTCGCGTATGCTCAAGGTCAGAGGCCGGAGTTGAAAAAACACCAAGACATCTTTGCATTCGGCTGGGTTAGACCCTGAATCCGGTTCTGCTGCCTCATCAGCATTCTGCATGACACAATCTGCAATCCTTGAATCTTCGCTCAAAGGGCCAAGTGTCTGCCGTCGGAACTTTCAGCTGCAAGCACCTACGAATACTCCTGATTGAATCGCGGGTCTACTAGATATCTTCCCCTCGTCACGGTTCCGGTTGGTTTCAGTTTAGTGCGTCTCTCATCTCAGCACACCAGCTTTCCTCAGGCGTGTACTGCAGAAAGCCCTCCGGACACCAAATCTGCTTAGAACCCTTGCCCTGGACGTAGGTTTCAAGCATTTCTGTGTGCCGGTTTTCCTACTCCTTCTGATTATGTTGGCAGTGGTTTGTTGCGGCGCAGGTCAGGGCACAAACCTCGTGGGGTCCCGCCATCCTGACTGAAAGCGGGGGACGCGGTCCCGAAGGCTGCCTGAATCCCCCAAATCGCTTTAAAGCCCTAAACCCTAAACCCTAAACCCTTCCATGGCAAACACCAAAACCATAGCGAACTCGTGGGCCCCAGGAGGTGCGCTAGAGAGGAAGGCGCGCAAGAACGGGAAGATGGAATGCCGAAGCAACAATTCCCTTAACCCTCTAGATCATAGGTCCCACTACTATATATTATCATTTATTATCTTATTTATTTATTCATTATTTATTCATTCATTATTTATTTATTCATTATTTATTTATTTATTTATCTATTTATTTATTTATTCATTATTATTATTATTATTATTATTATTATTATTATTGTTATTTTTATTATTATTATTATTATTATTATTATTATTATTATTATTATTATTATTATTATTATTATTATTATTATTATTATTGTTATTATTATTACTATTATTGTTATTGTTATTGTTATTGTTATTATTGCTATTATTACCATTATTATTGTTGTTCTTATTGTTATTATTATTATTATTGTTATTATTATTATTATTATTATTATTATTATTTTTTGTTTTTAGTTATTCTATTTTTTTATTTTTTTTGAAACAACCCCAACCCCCAACCCCCCCTCCCCAGGCCCCCAGTCGCCTCCATGCTACCAACTCCTCGTCTTCAACTCCAGGTCTTCCAGCATCTGCAATTAGCTGAAGTGACGGCTTAGGGTTTAGGGTATAGGGTTCAGGGTTTAGAGTTTAGGGTTGCAATTGGCTGAAGTGCTACATCCGGGTCGGTGCCTAGGAGTTCTTGCCTACAGGCTTTAGGCTGCGGGGTGCTTCTTTCTTGCAAGGTTTACTCGGTTTTGGCCTTCTGGCTTTTTCCAACACGCACAGAACCGTGCACTGGCACCATGGGAAGGTGTTGGGAGGGCTTGGAGCTTCGAAGTATTCCAGGAGGACGTGCTCAGTCTTCTAGCGAGATCCTCCGTTGGTCACCGCCGGTCCCCTTTAGGCCGACCCTTCAGACCCTCGCAACAGCATACACTCATAAACAAGGTCCGTCTAAACCCAAGATTAAGGGAAAGTTCGTATTCCAGTGGCCTACAAAGTATACTGCTTGACTATTTGGACCCTTGGCACTTGATGCCTTTGCAACAACAAAAACCCAGAACACCACAACAAATATATATATATATATATATAACAACCGTGCAAGACCCAGAGATCCCTGACTGTAAAGAATCCCCCGTTTTGGCCTGCTCTACTCCAGCGAATTGCAGCACTCGCTGTCCCAGCATGGCAGGGAGGGCATGCTACCCAAGCCCGAAGCTCTAATTTTCGTGCTTGGGTTTAGGGCTCTTCGTGTCCTACTTCGAAAAGTTCGAAGGGTTCAGGGGTTTAGGGTTGCCCCCCTACTTCGGAGGGTTTAGGGTTCAGGGGTACATGACACGGACACTGGAACTAGGCCAGCCACGACTGTTGCGGCAGAAGGGTAGAGGGCTTCGGTGCTTACGCACGAACTGGAATACATCAGACGAAAAGAAACCCCACCCTTCATGCCCACCTCTCTCTTCCACCACAGGCGAGACTCTCTGCCCGAAAAAAGCTCGAAACAACTCTCGTTCTCTGCTTGGGAGAGCTTGATGAAGTGCAACTTCGACCCCCGCGATAACAATGAACTTGCAGCAGATCTGCAGGTGGCGCGGCGCATTGATGGCAGCGGAAAACCCTCCTTCAGACAGCAAGGGGCTCGAAGCAGCCCTACCCGGAAATGCTGATCGGAAGGACCCTTAATATAGGTATACTATTTTGGCGGTGCCGTATATAGCATACTGGGTCCCAACACCCTCTTCTAATTACTAAGGCCCCTATCTTGGTACAAGGACTCCATAGGATTCCGAACTTCATTGAGCCCCATACTGCAAGTCGGCTGAGGACTTGCCGGGAGGAGTGAGGCAGATTAGCTCCCGAGAACGCGTCGAAGATGTCGGGTTCAGGAGTTTATGGCTTTAAGGCTTTAGGGGGCTTTAGGGCACTGTAGGGGGCTTTAGGGTTTAGGGTTTAGGGGGCTTTAGGGTTTAGGGCTTCATGCCTTCAGGCTTTGGGGGCCAGGGTTTCGCGTGTAAGGCTTTGGGCTTGGCGCGCGCGCGTGAGACGATCCGCAACTTGAGATCCACATTGTTTCGGGGTTTAGGGTGGGCTTTGGGATTAGGGTAGGATCTAGCGTTTCGGGGATTCTGTTGAATTACATGTCAAAGGCAAGGTAGGAGGGTTCGAGCAAAGTTCTCTAGCCACTGCTTGTTCCATGATCCAGAGCTGCCTCCTCCTGCAGCAAGTTTCATCAAGGGCACAAGAGTTGGCGGCAAACAATCGAATCAACAGCTCTTTTAATTTGGAAAACTTTGAACTCTCAGCAACCTGTCCTGAAACAAACACCGAAACACACCGGCATCCGTTTTCCCCTGCACCCAAACCTCCACACCATCAACCCGAAACTATGCAACCCGGAGCCCGAACCCCTAAACCATATGGTTGCTTCCGAAAATAGGGGACCCAGGGCTTAGGGTTTAGGGACCCTAATATCATACCTTGAAGAGTAGGATCCTTATTGTGAGGACCCCAAAGTAAGGTGCCCCTACTGTTCGGAAACTTCCCTGGAGGCGATGTTTTTCTCTTCCGGTCATTGGCATTTGTGTTAGCCGCGATGGCCTTCGCCCCAGCCTACAAAGCTACATGGCCTCATAAGGGTTTAGGGTTTAGGGCATGTTTTGTTTGTGGGGATTTCTGAGCTTGTAGGTGGTAGTTGCTGAAAATACAATGCCCATCCCCAAGGTAGCCATTAGGTATGCATGTACCCGCGCGAGTGGTCAGGAAGCCCAAAACCCTATCCTTTAAATACACCCCTTTCAGCACGGACTGCTATACCCTGTAAACCCCAAACCGTAGGCCCTAAGCCCCATAAACCCCAAACGGTAGTTTCCGAAAATAGGGGACCCTAATATAGTACCCTAAATAGTAGGATCCTTATTATAAGGACCCCAAAATAAGGTACCTCTATTTTCGGAAACTCCCAAACAAGTGGTCCCTAGTCTAAGAAACCCCGCAGTCGCAGGATTAAGCGAAGGCCTGGCTCGGAGACGATGATACGTATGGGAGCTTCAGAAAATCGGCCAATTTAGAACCCCTAAATCACGCAGCATCCTTAGGGCCCCTAGATGAGGTAAGCCTATTTTCTGAATCCCCATATGGCACTTGCCGACACGACTATGCGAAAAGCCTCAACACCACTCTCCACCGGCGCCGAAATCAGAAAAACGCGCCGGTTGGGGCTTTCGAAATGCAAGCCGATGGCGGAGCTGGCTACAAATCGGCTTCTCCAGGGACTTAGATGCCAGTACTTACTTAGATGGTCCATATGGTTGATGAAGTTCTAATTCTGCAAAACAACAGCTTCAGAACTGTTTGGAGAGAACTCCCCACAGAAGCGACGGAGGTCCAGCAAGCTGCTTTTGCAGCTCAAGATGGACCTCACGCGTCCAGTCCGGCACAATACATACAGCCTCGAGGGCGAGAAGTCTTGCGGTTTGGGGTTTGAAGCACTCTTGTGAACCCTGGACCCTCCACAGCATGACTGGAAACTCTTCCCCAAATCCTCCCCGTATCTGCACTCACGACTTGCCGACGTTGTCAACGGCCTGCATAGGCGTGCCACGGGAGCTCGCAACGTCTCCGACAGAAGCCGTTTGGTCTCAGGGCTGGGCTTGGAAGCCCCGAGAAGCAGCAACTTTGCAGTTTCAACCTGACCATGGCCTCTTTGATGATGCGGACGATGTCCGGCTGTGCCTCGTCATCGGGCGCATGGGCGGTGTCGAAGCATTTTTCAGCTCCCTTTGTTTCCGCGAGGCACGTGGTGGCTGCAGAAGCTCATGCGTTGATTTCCTGGAAACAAGTCCCATGCAACTAATACAGCGACCTCCTACAACAACAACTACTACTGCTACTACTACTACTACTACTGCTGCTACTACTACTACTACGACTACTAATTACAACAACAGCAACAACAACAACTGCTACTCCTACTACAACTGCAACAACTAGAACTACTAGAACTGCAACTACAGCTGCTGGAACTACCACTTCAACAACAGCAGCAGCAGCAACAACAACAACAACCACACCACAACCACGACACCACGACGACGACGACGACGACAACCACATGGATGACAACAACTACAACAGTTGCAACGACATCTGCTGCTACTGACTGCGACTGCAAGAGCGACAACGGCCGGCACCAACAGCGCCACCAACAACAACAGCAGCAGCAACACCAGCACCAGCACCTACACTAGCAACCACAACAGCAACAGCAAGAGCAATAACAGCGACAACAACAGCAGCAACACTACTTTTCGACGACGAGGAGGACGACGAGAATCCCTTGGCCTCCTCGGCACCAGTCACTGTCTTCGTCTCGATGATGCGGCGGAGCGCCCCCAGCGCCCACGGCAAAGACTGCCAAGGCTTTACTTTTGGAGCTTTTGGGATTTGGGCGTTTCCGAAAATAGGGAACCTACTACAGTACCCTAAATAGTAGGATCCTTATTATATATAGTAAGGATCCTACTAGTATGGGTACCTTATTTTGGTGTCCTTATATATAAGGACACCAAAATAAGGTACATCTAATTTTCGGAAACACCCATGTCGACTGTCACTCTGGCACAAGGCAGGCAGGGCTGACGACGAATCCATATGCAACTGCTGCTACGGTTGATGATATAAACCCTGCATTACCCATAATAAGGAATATACCATGATTCCCATAGTTTAGGGTCATTAAGGTAATGCAGGATGTATATCATCAACCGTAGCAGTAGCTTAGAAGGCATCAACATCCAAATGGTGCGACCCGTCAGAGTGTTAGCAGCTTTGTCGCGAGATGCTGCCTCTCACACCGAGACTCTGCCTAGCCAGAACCTTCATTCCTTAACCCTTTGCGCCGAACCAGAACCACAGGGTTTAGATCAACAAGGCTTATATGAAAGGAACCCAAAATCTCATTTTTGTATGTGGTTGGCTTTATTTGTGTTTAAAAGTGTTTTTTTGTATTTAAAAGTATTGTTTTGTATTTAAAAGTTTTTTAAATAGGTTTTTTTGTGTTTTACAGTTGTTAAAATTCTTTTATTTTATTTTTGGTGTAAAAAATACATGTTTGTGAATTTTGTTTCTGAGTGAGTCAATTGGCTTCCTGTTGTTCTACCTGGTTTCCTGCTGCTGTATGTCTACAAAATTGTTGTTTATTTGTTGTTGAAGTTAATAATTTTTAATATTTAATCTTTTTAAATAGTTTTGGGTTGTGATTGAACAAAGAAGGGAGGCCGTAGTGACATGTTGACTTGCCTTGAGATCTTGCCCTTACCCACACGGATCGACTGCCCTTCTCGGTTCGTGGGCACCGTTGGCCGGGTGTCAGGTTATGAGGCGATTGTATCTAGACCGCCTTGGGGCCAACGTGCCAGGGCAGTGGCATATGACACCCGGACAAATGGGCTAAAGTGCCGGGTGGGGCGGTTGAGGGGTTGTTCGCAGCCGTGCTTACAGCCTTGAAGGGGAGGCCATCCATGCTTGTCACGTTAGTTAGGGAGCCTTGCGACTTGGATCGACAGAGGCAGAGTGCCACCTTACCCACACGGATCGACTGCCCATCTCGGTTCGTGGACACCGTTGGCCGGGTGTCAGGTGTTGTCGATGGTACCTGGACCGCCTTGGGGCCAACGTGCCAGGGCAGTGGCATATGACACCCGGGCACATGGGCTAAAGTGCCGGGTGGGGTGGTCCAGTGGTTGTGGCTTTTTTATTTTTCTCCCAACCAGGAGGGGAGGCCATCCATGCTTGTCACGTTAGTTAGGGAGCCTTGCGACTTGGATCGACAGAGGCAGAGTGCCAGTCGAGCCTCTCGAGGTTGCCTTACTTAAGTCCCTGCCCCATCGGGGTTGCTCCCCACACCGTTGGCCAGGTCTAAGTGTTCGGTTTGAATCCAAGCCTAGTGAACGCCTTCTCTTCCATTTCCTTCTCTCCCATCGGTCTTCATCGGCTTCCAGCCCATCGAGAAGTGGATGCCAACTGCTGGGATCTCAGCATCAGCTTGCTTCAGCTACTTCCATTATTATGGTACAGTCCTGGCACCGAGGCTCATGACGAGGATCCTGAGGACATGCTGCCATCGCAGAGGACAAGCTGCCTTGCATAGTCAGTGAGCGTGTCATGTATCGCAACTTGCCGCTGCAGCAGTTGTGCTCGCTGTTGCCCTGCGTAATCTACTATAGTCGTGTTACAGCTGCTCTGTCTCTAGTCTAAGTCGTAGTAGGCCCCCCTGCAAGCCGGCAGATGTCGTCGATGTCGTGGAGTGACAGTGAGTCTGTGGGCTCGGACTGGGTTCTGGTTGACGATGAGGGTGCAAGTACTGCGGGCTCGGTCGCGGACAGTGCTGACGACGATGATTATGTGATTCCGTTCGACGAGATGCTAGAGGAGTCCTTTTCGACATTGTGGATGTTTCTGGATTCTAAAGAGCGTGGGCAAGTCTTTCGAGCAGCCTTCCATATCAATGAACAGATCATGTTCGTACTGTTTCCGAGACTTTTGCGGGATTTTAGGCAAGGCAGAGTGCCAGGAATTTTATATTTCAATGTGACAGACGAATGGCTGTCGTCACTGAATCAATGATTTGTCGTGTTTGTACAGCCTCCGCGACAGTATCACGGATCTTGGGGAAGGCAGAGTGCCGGGTTTGCGTGTGTTTAGGGGATTTTGAATTCGACGATCTAGCCAGCAGAGCTAGACTGTCCGATTTGAGACCTCAGCGGTAGTGTGCGCAACTTGGATTCAAAACGGTTACCCAGCATGACATGCTGACTACACAGTGCCGGGTGGCAGTGATGTCCTCAGGACCCTGCTGTCTCCGAGGCTGGCTGCCTGCCTGCATAGTCTGTCAGTGAGTTGACTTGCACCATACATGATCGACATCTGCCGGCCAGAGAATCAAGCGATTCATGCATACTGATGTAACAGTAGTAACAAAATGTTACATATCATTGATTAATGTACTATATAGTGATGCATTAGTCACTGTTAATGTTTTAATCGTTGGACAATTGTGTGCTCGATGAAAGCAGTGATGCCGACGACCTGCTCTGTCTCTAGTCTAAGTCGTAGTAGGCCCCCCTGCAAGCCGGCAGATGTCGTCGATGTCGTGCAGTGACAGTGAGTCTCTGGACTCGGACTGGATTCTGGTTGCCGATGAGCGTGCAAGCACTGTGGCCTCGATCATGGACAGTGACTACGATGATTATGTGATTTATTTCGACGCGCTGCTAGAGGAGTCCTTTTCGACATTGTGGTTCTTTCTGAATTCTGAAGAGCGTGGGCATGTCTTGCAAGTAGACTGGCATATCAATGATATGATCCTGCACGTACTCTTTCCGAGATTTATGCAGGATTACAGTGAAGGCAGAGTGCCAGGAATTTTATATTACAATGACGTGCGAGACGAAGCTCTGTCGTCAATGATGAATCAGTGATTCATCGTGTTTGTACAGCCTCCGAGACCGCATTACGGATGTTGGGGAAGGCAGAGTGCCGGGTTTGCGTGTGCTTAGAGGATTTTGAATTCGACGATCTAGCCAGCAGAGCTAGACTGTCCGATTGGAGACCTCAGCGGTAGTGTGCGCAACTTGGATTCCAAAAGGTTACCCAGCATGACATGCTGACTACACAGTGCCGGGTGGCAGTGACGTCCTCAGGACCCTGCTGTCTCCGAGGCTGGCTGCCTGCCTGCCTGCCTGCATAGTCTGTCAGTGAGTTGCCTTGCACCATACATGATCGACATCTGCCGGCCAGATAATCAAGTGATTCATTCATACTGATGTAACAGTAGTAACACAATGTTACATATCATTGGTTAATGTACTGTATAGTGATGCATTAGTCACTGTTAATGTTTTAATCGTTGGACAATTGGGTGCTCGATGAAAGCAGTGATGCCGACGACCGTTTCAAGGTGCTCAGGGAGTTCCGAGGCAGAGTGCCAGACTTCTGCTGCTGACCATCAGAATCAGGCCAATCACATTGACCTTGGCAGTGATTACTGGAACGAAGCCGTGCAACAACTTCGGTGGAATTGTTTACACTGTGGCAGATCAGCTGCCGACTATACCACCGGGCTCCGAAAGATCCAAAGGGCTGCACAATTGGATCAACGAATCAAATTGGCAGTTGAGGCCATCTCAGATTTCGGAGATATGGATATGAAGTTGTACAAAGCATGGACCGGCCAGACAGATGTGCTGCCTGGGTCGATCCCGCCACCTCGGCCATGCCAGCATGATGTCGAGACGTGGCCCATGGATGATGTTTTGATTTACGACCATCCCCAGTGGCAACTGTTTGTTGGCAGTATTGGTTGCCCGATCCGATATGACCAGCTCCGGGTCAAGCCTGACATTGTCATCTCTATGAATGCAGATGACAGACCTCGGAATTTTGAGCCATGGGACTGGTATCAGTATTTGGCGAATTGTGGACCGTTTGGCACTGCACATCTTCGGTATGGTGGCTGGGATCAAACACATGCCAATGACTTTGATGCTGAACAAAGAAGTCATGAGTTCAAGACCATTTGGCGCCGCCTCATTTCAGATTTCAGAAAGATTATGATGTGCTGGCAGCGCTCAGCAGAGGAGTTCAGCCAGAGTCAAAGGCAGAGTGCCATCAAGGGCAAAATGATGGGCAAGGCCAATGGCGGCAGGGGCAAGGGCAAGACAATCAGCAAGGGCTACAGCGGCCCCTGTCAGGTTTCCAATCACATGCAAAGCCAGAAGGCATCGACGAAGGGCTCATTTGGCTATGGCTGCTCCTATGACAAGGGCTTCAGCAAGGGAAGTGACATGGGCAGCCTGTTCGGAAGAGCCGCTGAAGGAAGGCAGAGTGCCGATGGAAGGCAGAGTGCCTTGAAGGTGGCCGATGAGACATTCCCTGGTGAGCTCGGTAATGCTCTTGCTTTGTTGGAGGCGATGAAGCTTCAGGGAGGTGGTCGGAAGCGTGGAGGCAAGAAGAGGCCAATTCGTGTGCTTGTCCATTGCTACGGTGGCATTAACAGGACCTGTGCTGCTTATTGTGTCCTAGTCATGGCCTTTGCCTCGATGACCATGGAACAAGCCATTGTCAGGTGGATCAACCACCGAGCCTACTATGCTCCATTCCGGGATCGTGAGTACATGATTGAAGCACTGCTGGAAATGCAGGATGAGCTGCACACGTACAGTTGATCATCGACACTGAACCCGAAGTCCATGGTCAAACAGTTCTGCTCCAATGAATGATTCTGAGCCGTCGAAATTTGTGTCCCGACACTGGCCCAGCCAGAGAGTCCTGGACCCGACACTGGACTGCTGGCTGGAAGTGAAACACAGTCCTTACCTTGAAAAGGCTAATAGTTACATTCCCACTTTCAG